TGTGGTCTAAATGGAAATTAAATACTTCATCGTTAAATAGAATTTTGACTATTCTTTTGCGTGTGTTAATTATATTTCATTATTTGAACCAAGCATGATAATTTCCCACTTAACCTTGTTGGAAATAAACAATATCAATCTTGTTTTTTTTTCTTTATTTAACAGATCATACTAGTGAACTTCCTTTTTTCATTATTTTTTTGACGAAACTATCCTTTATGGATGAACCAATCAGGTATAAGATAATAGGTCTTGGATTTTGGCGTGAAGTTCACTCATCCATTTGACTAAATAGCGTTTCGGCATTATAGCTGATGTCATTTCATGATTTAAAAAATCTATTTCTAATTCTAACCTTAACCATCAACTATAAATCCTCATTTAGTCCTAGTAATTAGGTGGACACTCTCAAGGTCACTTTAGCGTCGCTCAAAAGTCGTCCATAAATTATAGTCTCATCAGTTTTTTTCTTTGGTAAACTAGTAAACATTCTTAATTGTTACTTTTATCATGAAAATAAATTTTTCAAACACTTATATTAAAAGTACGCCTGGCGCGAGACTGATAGGTCCTGGCTTCGAATCTCACGGGGTGCGGGATCGTGGATTCGCACTGCTGAGGAGTCCCATACTAGAATGAAACGGCCGTCCAGTGCTTCCAGATATTCCATTGTGGTCTAGCTTCAATTGACTCATGAGTTCAATCAGTGAAAAGTACGTTTATTAAATTTCCTTTTTTTTATAAACAATTTTTTTTGTTTTCTTAGCAACAACCCTATAAAGTACATACATTAATTGTTTTTTTAAATATAGTTAACTATTGTAACTACTTATATTTTTGTCATAAATCTTGAAAGTTTATAGACTATAATTAGTTGTTAGTTTAATCTTTCTATTCAGAGAAAGTATAGATATTAATATTAAAACAAACCACAATATTATTTCCGTTAAAGTTTTAAACTTTCTTTTTTTTTATTAAATAAACTTTTATTTATTTATTGAAAATCTAAAATCTAATATACCAATCCATATTTAAGTCTCATAACATTTCCTGTTTCCTCCATACAATCAAATAAAACTTGAAACAAACATACAATACTCAGGTTACTGTGTTTGTTTGTTTTTTTCATGAGAAAATCTGTTTTTATTCACTAAAATTAATAAAAATAATTTAAGTTTTAGGAAAATCTAATCGTATTTTTGTTTAATACTGGCTTGTCCTTGTGTACTAAGAATTCTTTTCTCTTTTTTTAAATGTCATATTGAAATGAGACTTTCTAAATTGTGATTTTATGATTTCCATATAGTTCACATGAATTATTTTTAGCTCTTTAAAAATTATATTATTAATAAGCAGAGATGAATAGTGGCTAGCAATGGAAACTAGGACGCAAGTTTTGTCCTATTTTTGGGGGTCGTTAGCCGAATGTACCTGTATCTCAGAGTTGATGTTCACTCTGGGACTTGAATCTAGTACCATTCACTTCAAACACCATCTCGTTATCCACTTAGTTACTGAGTCCAGATAACTATTAGCCTATGCAATGGGTTTAGGTTTAACTCATTTTTGTTATAGTTCTTTGAATCTTTTCATTGATCAATCGTAGTACTAAACATCAATGGGAAGATTCAAACAACCAATACAAAAATGAATTACGTTGTTAATGATTGATTCTAAAAGGGATTCAGATATTCTATATAATTACTCATTTCTTATTCGTACTTACCTTTAATCATAGTAAACAAAAGATTTCTAACGAATAAATATTTATGCTTAACTCTGAGTGTTGTTCCCGTTCTTAAATAATGGAGACTAGAGAGTATAGTATGATAATGGGTAGTGCGAATAAATGTAGTTAATTATTGCATTGTTTCCTTCTTTTGTGTGGCGTATATATACTTGGTGCCCTCTTGTACCAATATTTATGTGTTCAAATAAAAAATTGCATTGATGGATCGATATATTTAGTCGCGTAGCGGTAGTTGTTGTTCACATTTAATTTGATTAATTTTGCAGCTTACTTACAGTTTGCTTGTAAATTTATGCTCATACTACATTTCTTTAGCCAATGTGCAATCATTTTTGTAATATGGATAATGAGTAACGTTAACATGAAGCTAAAGACAGTACGGGTGAACACTTAATGAATTATATATTTTCAATCCTCTGAAACGACACTCTTATTTATTTACAATAGCATTTTAATGTTTTAAAACCTAAATGATCATGCGTGTTCAGTCCTTTGTTAAACATGTCAAATCTATTGTATTCAAGATGCTTCCAATATTAAATATTGTATTACCTATCTAACTTATCAAACTACTACGTTGTTTTAGGGAACCAGTTTTCTTTCTGACTTTCATAAAAATATCCAAAATGATAGCTGTTCCTTTAATGATATATATGCCATCGTCTTAAGTCAAATAAATAATGATCTTATACATAGAAAAGTTGAATTGTAACTAGCGGTGGAATATAGGACGCCTTTTTCTTCCTATATTGAATTGGTCAGCTTTATGTACCTGAACCTTATTGTTGATGTTCAAACCAGTACTCGAATGTAGTGCCTTCCACTTTAAACATTCAATGCGTTATACATTGGTTTATTGAACTCTAGTTTGTCAAACGGGTATAATGTTTGTATCATTATTTGCAACGGTTTAAATCTATGTCACATACGTCAGCAAATAATAGCAAAGGGATAAATCGAACCCCTTACCAATAATAATCTAAAAATGGTCTTGATATTTCGTCGATTTGTATACATTTTAAGTTCAATTTGAACATTATTATCAATTATTATTATTAAAAATGTTTTAGACTTGTCATATTAACAGAACATTTCTTCGATGAACTAAATTAATAAAGTGGAAAATCAATGTAAGACGCTATATAGAAAGATTTTTCTATTAAGGACTGAGAAAAATATAAATCGATGTATCTGTATTTAGAAAGTTATCTGAATTCATTCAATAATTGGATACTTTGGTGAACTGATAAGAAAATTCACAAATTATCTACTTAATTTGTGAACTGTAGTATTTAAATATCCGAATAATAAATGTTGTTCTCCAGTAGATTTTTTTGGATATGGACACCGAGTTGATATTTGAGATTTCTCAAGTTTTTTTTAAAAAAAAACATCTAGGCTATTATATCTTAATATTCACTGAAGCATTAGGCTAGTGAACTCTACAAATATTAATAATGAATTCATAAAAGGCAACAGTTATCAGTTTGTTTCTGCCCCGATAAAATTACTGTTTCCTTTATTTTATGAAAGCAGTTTTTGATTTATCCTAGTCTTTGATCACTTCATTCTTTAACGTTTTCAATCCAATTTTGTTAATTTGATTATGTAATTACTCATCTAAACTCCCACAATCTTTCGTTATTATCGTGATTGGGGTTATTATACTTTTTTGTTTTAATAATTTACTTAAGTTTTCTTATTTTATTTGAATTTTGATAATCCATATTTTATTTCGTCAATAAATTAATTCCAGCTCTGATCATTGACGTTCACAAACTTCCCTTTATGTGCAAAATTTATTTACCTTTTATTCAGTTGAGAAAAGAAGTTTATTTAATTCTTAGCTACACAGTGATGATACATGTTTACATTGACTTTTCACCAATAACATTCTTATAAATATATTAATGTACAGTAATTTTAGTTATTAAACTATAGTAGACGATAAACAGTTAATAAGCATCGAAACGACATAGCATGTATTCATATAGTTTCGTTTGATTCATGGTTATTCAGGTTTTCATATTTGTGGCCCTATAACTGACTCCAGTTAGATCGTACTATGATTGTTATGGAAATATACATATCTTAAATCCTCTCATATAATCATCGACTTAATTCGCGTTAGTGTATAACGGAATTAAATAAGCAAAATATGAAAGTGAATTTTGACTACGTGTATTTCACATAATCGTTGATCCAGATAAAAACGATCGAAGAAACGAGACGAAATGACGCGTGGTGGAGAAGGCATGTACGCCACTTCGATTTATAGTCACCCAAAAATAAGTTACAGACATGTGATGAGTAAGATAAGAAATGCACACACATACGCTCACATAAAAACAGACAAGGTTGATAACGAATAAGGGACAGGGTAAAATGTGGCTTGAGAAGAATGAATAGATTGATCTGTTCAGAGGCTAGAATAACCTATGTGGGCTTGACATAATACCAGCCCTTACACATCCCGAAGTTACTATTTACATTATGGTATGAATAATTTTTCCGGTTAGTGTTTTTTTAGCGAGTTATTTTCCTATGGGATGGGGTCACTAACCCCATGCCCAACCCTCCTCCTTTATCGGGGTTTGGGGACCGGCGGCAGCTCCTGAGGGGCTCCGGGCCGGGGCGCCACAAGGCAAGGCCTCACATGAAATCCTCAAGGTCAAAGGAGAAGAGGAAGACCAAAGAACACATTAGGCTGAGAAACGGAGACAGACATGAGAAAAATAAACAAATATTGAACAGAACTGGAAAGGAAGGTCCAGCACAGAGTGGGTTGGAGAACGCTGGTCGGCGGCCTATGCTCCATCGGGAGTAACAGGCGTGAGTAAGTAAGTAATTTACATTATGGTGGTATGGCCAATAGATATTTCTTTTAAAATTAAACAAGTGTATATAGTATAATATTAGAGTGTAATAGTTGGTTACATTGTAAAGAAATCATATTTTTGTGGATAGAATTAAATTCTACTAACTGTGATTTCCTATGAATCTTGTAACACATTAAACATACTACTGAAATAAAGAAAATAAGCAAACTTTCTAATTAAATCCCCTAAACATTTATTTATTAAAATAAATTATATATAGAGCTGAATAAGAGTAATCTGTTTTAAATTTCTTTCACTCAGTAGTATATCATTACATACTGCTGTCATTATTATTATTAGTAGTAGTATATAAGTAGTACTTATAATAACTTTAAAATTTCACTTTTAATTATGCATAAAAATTATTTTTTTTACAAACCTTTCATTTCTTGATTATTATTATTATTATGATGATTAATAAATTGTGTTATACGTGTTATTCTTTGATCAATTAAATCTATTCGACTTGATAAAGTACGTATATTTGTTAAAAAATTATTCCTTAATAATTCAATATGTTGCATAATAGTTTTATGAAATTTTTCTTGTTCACCTTCAATGATATCTTGATTATTTAATTTATTTATAATGAATGCATTAGAATATTTAGTTGATAATTGAATTTTATCATCATGTTGTTTTGTTTGTTTTATAGTTTCATTATTTATTGTAATAGATTGATGAGTATTGGTTGTTAGTGTTGTTGTTGTTGCCGTTGTAGTTGTAGTTGTTATTTTTATTGTGGTTTGTGTTGATAATGTTGTTTTAGGTACGTCAAGAAGTCGACTCCAACTTAATTTTGGCTTTGTTAAACTTGGAACACATTCTGATGATGTAGTTTCTGGTATAGGATTCTGAAAATTAATGTGATATTGTTTATTTTAAAGAGTTAAGAAGGATAGTTATTCAACTATGAACATTTGGTATCATGAACATTAAAAAAAATTGACTTACAAATGTAATGGGTTATTTTTTCAAATGTTTAATTTAAGGTTTTATTATGGAGTTGGAAATAACCTACAAGCTCAAAGATATTTTTAAGTGATCCCCCTTTTTTACGAGGGCATATATACTTTAGGATATGTGGTTACAAAGGGCTACGTGTCTACTTATTACAATTATATACCATAAATTTAGTTATTTCTAAAAATACATTTAGTTTATGTAAATTGGTCACTACGTATTCTAATCGAATAAATACAATGCTTCCAATAAATGAAATGAGATAATGTTACGATACAATTTATTTATCAGTGAAGTTCAAGATGTTAGGTGGTTGAAGGTAGTTGACAAGAGACTCTAAACCTGTTTCGTTCTAGTTTGCACCCGTCAATAAAGTGTATCTGTCTTAAGGAAGTCATATTCGCTTTTGGATTGAAACCCACATCATTCAGCTTCGCAATCCGAAAAATGACCACTAAGATATTTAGTTTACAACAGAATTCCTCCAGGACTGAGATATTTACAATTGACTAACCACTGGGTAGTGACTAAGTCGCGTTTATTTAGACATGTAGTGATGATTGGGCTGTATTAATAAAGATTGAAGATCTGTTTCCTCAAAATTGAAGGTATGTCTTACTGAAGTGTATCAACCATCATGAAGCCTTTAGTTTAGTTTCCTGTTGACTACCTGCGGCCATCACAACATAGTGTTCACAATGTCGAATTATCCAAACTAGTAGCTACATTACAACTTGATCGATAACATCCGACCAATATTAAGGACTTAACAAACTACTCACTACTCAATTATAATGAATTTTCAAAACTGATGTACATGATGTCTTAAATTTCTGTCTTACAGATATTTCCTGCTGTCAGTAAGTTTCTGGACTCAAATCTTGACAATAAATTGTGCTGCTCTTAACAATACTTCATCAATTCTTCTGTAAAATATTACTCTTAGGTTTTCCTACCTTTCAGTTATATATATATATATATATATATATATATATATATATATGGAAATTTCATTGGACTTGCAGTGTTATCCTTTTCTAATTGATTATTTTAATTGCTTATATACATATATAAATTTAGAAGATGAAGAGACAAATATAAGATCACTCATTCACTTCCATCCACTCTAATCTCCCATTTCACTTTGACTAAAGAGTCTAATTTTTATCATGACTTTACCAAGTCATTTACCTGCTTTAAATATTTTGTTCGGCCTAAATTATTAATATCGAGTTATGTAAATAATTTTAGCGATATTATTTTCCAGTAAGAGAAGTAATCTCATTTCATTTTATGAAGAAGTAATGTCATAACATGATGATGAAAATTCCTTAATTATTATGTACATTTGATTGCTTTTCCGTGTATGTTATACTATTATGAGAATAACTTTGCAAAACTTTATTAACTCTGACGAAGAGTCTTACATTAAGTCACGAAACGTCGGAAATATAATTTTTCTGCTCATTGGGATACAACAAAAATATACTTATTATTGCTAATTTGTTGCGTTTTTAGGTTTCATAATATTTTAATAATATTAGTTAAAATTATTCAAAGTGATTATTTATTTGAACACATAAATATTGGTACAGAGGGGCACTGAATGCATATGCGCCACACAAATCAACTTGATTTGTCAGGACATGCAGTCTCATGGTAGCCGGTAACCAACGATTGGTTCATACGCCATTTGTTCCCTTAGGATCCTGGAGCCCATGTGACCATTGGTTTGGATTCAGGGTTTTCCAACTTTTCTAGATGGATCCTCCATATCCACCAGAGTGATTTAGGGTGTGAATTTCTAATTTTCACGGGGTTATGAGAACTGAAAATGCGTAACTAATTTTGTTTGTTAGGTATTGATGATATCGAAGATTTATGATTAATTGTTCTATTCAAATCACAATAGTTTTGTTTTAAAACAGAACTGATTAAAAAACAAAACTACTGAACTTTTTTACGTTTTTCCATATATACATGTACATAATCGCAAACATCCACAAATGATGAGATAACTTGTGAAGTAGTGATTTTCATTTGTAATTTATCTGTTTTATGGGTCAATTAATTAAGGAAAGATCTTAATATAATAAAAGAAATAATTTATTATGAAACGGTGGATTGATTTTCGTTTTTATCCAAAGCTGATATTAACTGAAAAGCTATTGAAAACAACGGATTATAGAACAACCATTTCATACTAGTTTAGGGCTGCTAATTAGTGTACGTAAACAAAAATTCAGGACTATCTTGCCTAGTTGTAATCACGATAGGTTTTTGAACAGTTTACTCCATTTAAATAATGCTTATTCACTCGTTTTTGAGCCATACTATTTATATGACGCTAGTGATAGTAGGGGACTTCTAAATACAAGGCAGATAGATCGGTATCTAAATCTAAAACCTATTTGATTGGAAACGTATTTTCTAAGCCTTCGATCAATATTCATTCAGCCAGTGAGTTCAGATTCAATAACCAACAGTTCTAAATTTATTCAATTATCGATCTAAGCTGAACCCTCCTCTTGTGTGTGTGTATGTGTATTTGTTATGACTTTAAGTTGTGGTCGACTTTTACCCTGTGCTAATTGTTGTGTCCTTGACTGGAAAATTAGAGAGCAGCGTACTTATCGATCGATTCAATGACACGTAAACACGTACGGACGGCCTAGAGTCTCGATTGGTCTCACTTCCCTGTCTAGCCCAGTCAGTTGAGTCCAGAACACAAGTCACAGCCTCGGAGATATGAATCATTATATTTCAAACATACTTTGTTTATATACCAATCAAGCATACCACATCGTACCATAAAATAGAAAACAACATTTTGTACAATATTCAACAAGTGAACAGATACCGACCAATAGGAAATGTCCATTTAAAGTCCAAGGACACCATAGACTTAACATGACAATGATTGGCATATTATTCTGTATCCACAACAGTATTTATGAAAAGTCTCAAATTAGAGAGCAACCTCTAAAATGTCTCAATTTTTTAAGACTCTTCATTTGATTTCAAAACGGAATAGAATAGCACTAAGGGACTTTTAGGCCAAATATATTAAATTTCTTTCAATAAAGAAGAAACATGATTCAATTATAAATACTGTGATTTCATTTAATAATTAAATAATAAGTGAATATTTCCTCTAAAAATTTGCATTAAAAAAAGACGGATTTCTTAAATTTATTTTCTAAATTTAATTTAATTTCAGTTTTTTTTTGTGAAATGAATAAATCTGTTCTTATTTTGCTCATTTTTATGTTTTATTTCCTCCTCTATTATAAAATGAATATACCTAATTCATTCTTATAGATTGTTTGCATAGTGATACGAAATGATTCCTACTGAATAATTTTCATTCTAGGAATTCCTATAGTTGAAATCATTAGTTGATCGGAGCTGGACCGCACTGGACGGCCGTTTTGTTCTAGTATGGGACTCCTCAGCAATGAACATCCACGATCACGCTCCCTGCGATTGAATTGTTTGAAGTTAGACATTAACACCTTCGAATGCCGGCCAGCTCAGTGGTCTAATGGTTAAGCGCTCGAGCGCGAGACTGATAGGTCCTGGGTTAGAATCTCGTGGCGGGGAGGGAGGGATCGTGGATGCGCACTGTTGGGGAGTCCCATACTAGGACGAAACGGCCGTCCAATTCTTCCAGGTTTTCCATGGTAATCTAGCTTCAATTGACTCATGATTTCAACTATTGAAATTTTCATTCTGTTTAATCAATGTATCATAAAATATATTTCAGAGATTGGAAGTATAAACCCATACATTTTCAAAATAATTAAAATGTTCATTTCGATATATTTTAATCAATCAATAAACCAGGTGAAACGAACTAATTTTGTTTGGGTAATTCTAATAGCCTAATGAAACATTTATGATTCATTTGTTGTGAACGTGTTGTGAAGTGTTTATAAAATCCAATGATAAATTTTTTTGATTAACACCATGAACTGATCAATTTTAGAGCATTTTTGAGAAGCTGGGAGCACTGGACAGCCGTTTTTCCCAGGATAGGACTTCTCAACAGTGCGTATTCACGATCTCGTACGCGGGATTCGAACCCGGGATCTCCGCAACCTCATACGGATAAACAATTTTTATCATGGGCATACCCGACCGTTGTTGCTACCTTGACGTGGTGGTCGGGCTTGCCTATCGTGATGAAGCAACCGAGCTATACTGGCTGGAACAACCGTTCCTCAAGGTCCTACCATGTCAGACAGGTCGGTTGAAGAGCGGTAAGACTAAAAGCAACAAACCCAAGGTCCGAAGGCGAAGTCGTACTGCTGACTGTACAGAGGTGTGACAGCAGTAAGGTGTTTCCTTCAGACAACCAGCATGACAGCGATGCTGCCTTCCCACAAGGAGGGGTGGGGTTAGAAAAGGTCGACCCTAAAAATGCACACCTCGCCTTATCCCACGGATATCCGTCTCCGGCGGTAAGGTCTCAATAAGTACGGAGCTAACACAAAAATTACCCATAAAAAGGTCGTGTGTGACCGACCTCAAGCAGTTGTCCCTTGGGCACTGCGGTCACGCTCTCAGTTCACTAAGACCACCTTTAATCCAATTTCCTTTTCAGGTACCTCCAGAACAACCCTTCCACGGTGTGGGCAACCGGGAAGTGATAACCGCCCTCATACTTCTAACAGCACTCAAGACCACTGTATTCATAATCAACCTCCTCTTCAATTCCTATTATTCCTCCTACATCGACTTTCAACTCTATATTTCCTCTCTCGGCTTCCACCTCAAGTGTCACCGTAGCCAACGATTCTAGTGCGCAAAACACTGTCCCAGGTCTACTGAAACCTCGCTCCAAACTACACATTGGAGCCTTCAACGTACGCACCCTATGTCAAATCGGTCAGCAGGCTTCCTTGGCTAAAACCCTAGAGTCTCTTTCCATTGATGTATGCTGTGTCTCCGAAACACGCATACAGGATTCCAGTGTGGTCATTCACTTGACCTCACCTCGGCAAGACGGAGAGCCAACGAGATACACCCTTCGTGTGTCTGGTGACCCGATGGCAAGTTCTCGTGGACTGGCAGGTGTAGGCATAGCACTAAGCATGAGGGCCGAACAAGCACTGCTAGAGTGGATCCCCGTCAACAGTCGTCTATGTGCTGTTCGGCTGAACGGCTACGTAAGAACTCGGAAGGATAGGGACACACGTCGTTGCCTTTTTGTCGTTTCTGCCTACGCTCCCACTGACTGCAGCTCAGATGAAGTGAAAGATGAATTTTACAGAAAGCTGTCCGAACTTCTTCAGAAAGCTAAACGCTCAGACATAGTACTCGTAGCAGGTGATTTTAATGCTCAGATAGGCAGTTTAAACCAAACAGAAAGGCATTTAGGTGGATATTTTAGTATTCCGACACAGCGAACAGATAATGGTGATCGTCTGCTGCAGCTATGCTCAGACAATCGTTTATTTTTAGCAAACACAAATTTTAAGCATAAGGAGAGACATCGTCTAACATGGCGACCCCCTACACCAAACCAACGATGGACTCAAATAGACCATATTGCCATCAGTCATCGTTGGAGAGGGTCGGTAGAAGATTGTCGCTCATTCTGGAGTACCTGCTTGGACTCCGACCATGCCCTAATACGGGCACGCATCTGCTTGCGCCTCACTGGACGCAAAAAAGCCACATTAAAAAGACCCATTAGAACTGAGTTGAGTAACGAGAAAACCAAAAGTAGGTTCCAGGAACAACTGAGGTCACACTTAGGTAGTTGTGAAGACGAGGCTGACCCAGATGTTGCTTGGAAGATATACAAGCAGCTGTGGAAACAGCAGTGACATCTATTAGTGACTTAAACCACAGAGTTACAAGGAACCAGTGGATTTCTTCAAGGTCTGTCACACTGATGGATTCTCGCAAACTCGTCCCATCAGGTTCTGAACATGATGAAGAGCGAAAACAAATCAGATCTAGGTTAAGAAAAAGTCTAAGGAACGACCGTGAGCAGTGGTGGGTAACGAAAGCAAAAGAGATGGAAAAGGCGGCGACTATAGGGAACACAAGACAGCTTTACAGACTAATAAAAGAAACTGGAATTAATAAGTCAAGTGTAAGTGAGATTATTTCGGAAAAAGATGATACTCTCATCTGCTCCCAGTCCAGACGTTTAGAACGATGGGCGGAACATTTTAGAGAACAGTTCAGCTGGCCTTCAGCTACTCTACAACTACCCTCCATTCCCAGACAAAGTGAATGGAACATTGAAGTAGGTCCCCCAACTCTTGCTGAAGTTGAGAAGGCTATAGTTAATCTGAAACGAGGAAGGGCAGCTGGTCCAGATGGATTGGCTCCAGAAGTCTTTAAGGATGGTGGTCCAATTTTAGCGATTAGGTTGACTAATATTTTAGCTAAGATCTGGGAATTAGACGTTATCCCATCTGACTGGTCGCAATCACTTATCGTCCCAATATATAAGAAAGGGTCAAAATCATCCTGTGACAACCACAGAGGGATTAGTTTAACAAACATAGTATCTAAAATACTGGCCTCGATAATTATCAAACGCCTAACTAAGACTCGTGAACTACAAACACGAGAGAACCAAGCTGGCTTTAGACCTGGTCGTGGCTGCATCGACCACATATTCACCATTCGTCAGGTTCTAGAACACAGGCATACCTATCGGCGTCCGACGATGGTGGTCTTTCTTGACTTAAAAGCAGCATTTGACTCTGTAGACCGCGAGACTCTGTGGCAGTGTCTGTCATTGAAAGGCGTACCTCAGAAGTACATAAACCTTGTGAAGGCTCTTTACTCGAACACTACTAGTCGAGTCAGGGCTTATGGCGAACTGTCATCTACTTTTGCAACCTCAAGTGGTGTCCGTCAAGGCTGCCCACTTTCTCCATTTTTGTTTAACTTCATCATAGACCTATTGATGGAAATAACACTCTCGTCGACTGAATTCTCGGGTATTGATCTCCTTCCAGGAGGTCCACTTATCGACTTAGAATACGCAGATGACATAGTCCTGTTTGGTGAAGACGCTGACAAAATGCAGAGTCTTCTGGTAGCACTAAGCAACAATGCCAGAATGTTTGGGATGCGCTTCTCTCCCTCTAAATGCAAGTTGTTGCTTCAGGACTGGTCTGCGTCAACACCTGAACTAAGGATAGGGAGTGAAGTAGTCGAACGCGTTGACAACTTCACTTATCTTGGAAGTCTGATCAGCCCTAATGGGTTGGTGTCTGACGAAATCTCAGCACGGATTCGAAAAGCTCGTTTGGCTTTTGCCAACTTACGTCACCTTTGGCGGAGGCGAGATATCCGTCTATCAATAAAAGGACGAGTATACTGCGCGGCAGTCCGTTCTGTTTTAATTTACGGCAGCGAAACATGGCCATTAAGAGTAGAAGACACCCGTAAGCTACTAGTATTTGACCACAGATGCCTTAGAAATATTGCTGGCATCTGCTGGGATCACCGGGTAAGTAATAGTGAGGTTAGACGCAGGGTATTAGGGAATGATGGTAAATCAGTTGATGAGGTTATGAATCTTCATCGACTGAGATGGTTGGGCCACGTGTTACGTATGCCTGAACACCGATTACCGCGACGTGCAATGCTAACCGGTGTAGGGGATGGTTGGAAGAAAGTTAGGGGCGGCCAAACCAAAACGTGGCATCAGTGCTTGAAGTCACTAACTTCTAGTCTGAGCCATGTTGGTAGATGCAGACTACTTGGTTGGGGTCCGCGTGACTTTCGTAACCAATGGTTGGAGACTCTTGGTGACATGGCTCAGAATCGATCACAATGGCGTCGGTGTATACACTCCCTGTCTCCCCTTAAACTAAGAGATTAAAATCGCTTCATATCTTTCTTTCTACGAACCAATTGTTTCTTCTTGTACTATATCTCTATATGCAATCTTCCTCTTATTTATTACCACCTTTGATCTAACCACTGCTATGAATCCGGTGTTCATCTTGTTGTGCTGATGCGGTATGGCAACCTGGACCGATGCACATATGTGCCTGGTCCTACGTTGTAGCTGACTGACTGACTGACATGGGCATAAAGTAAGATTTTAAAATAATCTATTTCTATCTGATCCTTTCTTACAGTTCAAAATGTTGAGGATCACACAATAGACCGTTTATTCAATTCTCATGATTGAATTATATTAGTTGTAGACATAGAATAAAATAGAATCAATCTCATCATTTTTGAAATCTTAGATAAAGCAATTTGTTAAGTTGAATGTGAAGATTCAGCATACATTTCCAATTTTATAATGACATAAATTGAATAGTTTAGAATGCAGTTTTATATATATATATAAACTTGATTTGTTCTATAATCAATATTTTCAACAAAAATTACTGTTTACAATCTCTGAGCTTAAAAAGTTTTATTATAATACAAATCTATTCGACAAAAGTATGAAAACCTGTTAGCGATTGGGCTTATTTTAAAAGACGAAAAATAGTATTAGTATGTCTTATAGATTATTGAAGAAAGCATTACTTTCCTTTTTTTAACCTTGACACTATTGTATCCAATATTATTGATTAACAACTCAATGAATATAAAATCAGTTAATGATGATATGGTATTATTCAACTCATTCTCCCGTAGTGATATTACATTTTTCGTGGATTATGGACATAAGATTTTGATGGAGTTTTGTTCTCTGAGCTGGATGGCTTAGTCTTCTCCACTATCTCAAGGACATAAGGTTTAACAACCCTGATGAAAGATTAACTTATACATGGTTATGTAATTCTAAGCCTCTATAAACTTATCTAAAATTTCATAACGAATGGTATATTTGTGTGAAAAAGTAACCACAATGGTTAGTGTCACCTAACTGGTAAATATCCTGATGCCAAACAAGACTTCACTATTACAAACTTCTTATGTATGGGTATTTAAAGTTACCAACTTAAATTGGTTTTATACGAAATGTTTTATATATTAAATATTTTAACAATGAATTATATGGATTTTTGACTCACTGTAGCACTCAACGATGTATCATTTGATTTCCACTTGTTTTTCCACTTTCTCGAGGTTCATTTGAACTGAATGAACTAGAACGACTTAAATTTGATGTAGCTGCATTGCAAAACCGGGATATTAACCGTCTTACCGGATGGTCTGGTGCTAAACTTGATATTGGAGGCTGACTTCGTCTTAATTCATTTAATTCTTGTTCTCTTCGAACATCAGATATTTTGCGAAATATTAACTATAAGAAAGAGAAATAATAATATGTTAGGTTCTTCGATGAAACATTTATATTATTTATTTAAGGACTAACTATTGATAAATATTTTATGTTATAACTGTTAGGAGCTTTGAGTTGTATGATAAGTATGATATCACTAAGCTCCTAGACTTTAATACAAAGTTCACATTCCTTTATTTCAGTCAATCCGTAATATGGAAAAAATCATATACAATGTCATTAATGAGCACCCTTTTATGGATATGGAAGGGATGATAGTGTACGCTAAAGAGTTCAGAATGACAATGAAATAACTATTTAGTACTCCATGGTAATACTTCATTTGATGTCATTTAGAAAAAAGAACTAATTTTAAAATGAATAAATCTCCGGATAGTTTTTAATTGTTATCTCTGTGAAGTCTAAATTATCCACACTTTTGATCTAGATTACGTTTTATATGGTTACACATTTCATCCACCTTGATTTGTATTATTTTATAAATGGTATCAACCGGATTGTTCGTCTTCACGTCATCCATTTATATGAGTTGCCATTTTTATCCTAAGAACTAATATCTCATTATTCACCATATAGAAAATATTTCATTTTTATAGTGTTTCATAATTAGATGACTTCATTGGTTATACAATATTGTTATATTAGCAAATGGTTAAACAATAACGTGTTTCCAATCCACTTTAGACTAGTTCTTCAGAACTTAAATTTTAACATCAGGAATAAGGAATGAAAACTCGCTTAAACAGATTAAGTTGTAAATCTCTTAGAATAATTTTTAAATTTTGTCTTGAAAAGCATATGGATTATTTTCTATTTTATTTTAACTGTTGATCATAATATTTCCTTTTCTTTTCATGTTTAGCTTACACATTAGGATTCTTCCTTTATTTTACACACTTCGAAAGTCTTTTAGTTCTACTTTCATCATTTGTTTATTGGTATATATTATGGATACTTTTTATCGGACCAGTTTGTTCTTTCTTGGAAACATTAGAAAAGTTTTTATTATACTGTATCAGTGGATAAAATGGTATAAATAGGGATTCTTGTAAATTTACGACACTAAAAACAGACGGAATGATCTTATGAAGATTAATTGACATGTTGAAAATATCTTCATTCAAATTTATTGTCGATTGAGAAATCCTGGAAAAAAAACAGAGCGTTAACATCTACTTAGTGATATTATGAGACAGTAATATGGATTAAATCATTTTATATGATAGTCATATTCTCCTTAGTGTTTGACTTCGAGATAGTGGGATGTTGTACGGCAGTAACTCATTATTAACAATAAATAAAGATTCTTCAATACTAAAAACACTAATTTGAACTGAATTTGTGAACGGTTTGAATTCCAATGCACTGGTCTAGGTGTCTGGCTCTTCGCGAGAACATTGGTTCTTGAACTCTACTCTACAAGTTACCATGAGTCCCAACTGCTTAATCATCTCCAACTATTGCAAACTAATTTTCTTGTACTTCTTGGTTTATATAGACCATAAATATAAAGAATCAATGAGATTTCGGTTTTTAGTTATTGAAACTCAACTGTGAAGATTTGTCACTGATTTCAGTTTGTAATAAACACTGGGATTATATTTTATTTAGTAAAACAAAAAGCATTCAATCTATTCATTATTAATTATTGTTTCATATTATCTTTTTCTAGTCAGAAATTGTTGTAACGTATGTGACTGCAGATTATGGAGCAGCAGCGTATTTATTGATCGGATTAATGTGACACGGAAAACACGTAATGAACGACCTAGAGTTCCGATTGACCCTGCTTCGCTGTCTATCCCAGACAGTTGAGTCCAGAACGCAAGTCACAGCCTCTGAGATATGAATCATTATATTTCAGACATACTCTTTATATACCAATCAACCAGACCACATCGTACCATAAAATAGAAACAACATTTGTACAATATTTAACAAGCGAAATAAATATCCACCAATAGGGAGTGTACATTTAAAGTCCAAGGCCACCATTAGACTTAACATGATGATTATTGGTATATTTTTCTGCACATCCTAACAGAAATATTCAATATTTTCATTTTATTTGTTATAATAAAATGTAATGAATAAAGGTAGTTGGTTCAATTTTTCCTTTTATTTATAAAGTTTCAACAGTTGAGATCATGAGTCAATTGAAGCTAGACCACCATGGAAAATCTGGAAGCACTGGCCGGCCGTTTCGTCCTATCGTGGACTCCTCAGCAGTGCGCATTCACGACGCCGCCTCGCGGGATCCTAACCCAGGACCTATCAGTCTCGCGCCAGGCGCCTAACCAAACAGACCAATGAGCCGGCATCCAACGGTGTTAATGTCTAACTTCAACTAATCCACGAAAGTTTCTTTTCATATACATTTGTATGTGTATGTGTATTATATAGAATAAAATTGTTGGTTTTATTAAAATTATGAACTTGATTATTATTATTATTACCACTTTAGAAATATAAAAAAGAACATAGGAAATATTATGCAACGTATCAACTTCTTGATTTAATAATTACTTTGATCATTAGTTATCCTCTTTCTTCCAATTACTCAATGTTAATTTAAATGTCATTATGTAATTGTTACGTAACGTATCCACTCGACGAGTATTATTTCATTATTTTAAATCATATATATATATATATATATATATATATATATATATATATATATATATATATATATATATATATATATATATATATATAAGTGTAGAGCCACGATTTTTCACTATAGGAAATATTAGACAATCATTTTAGCATCACTTTAATGTATCTCTTATTCAGTATTTATACTTTTTAGAGCTGTATGAACTAGTAGGTACAACTACTCAATGGATAACCATTCTTCAACTCAATCAATTCACTATAGAAACCAAAATGCCTAATGAATAAAATAACTTGTTTTCTTATTCATTTGTTGTAATCTTTTACATTTTTTCTCGATTTAACAGTCGATCATCAGATTTTTCCTAACCATATGATCTTTTTAAAAATCTGCTTATTTTAATTATTCCCGTAAATTTTTAGTTGTATATTGGGTCATTCGATGTCACCTTTTTATTTCTAGCATCGGTTGCAATAAAAAGATCTCTTTCGGATCATTCGAAAATTCAACCTCCTTAAAAGAATCAATTCTAACCTCTGAAAAATAGAAATATTAGAATAAAATTTAATAAACGAATTGATAAACATGATGTTGATTTAGCTTCTTCACAACTATTAATCCTTAGAAACTGTGAATTAGTTCATATAACACAGAAGTTGCGAAGTTAATGATATATGTTAGTTGAATAAATCAATAGTGACTTTTCTAATTGTGACATTGTATGATACAAGTTTGAATCCCAACTGATATATCATTTCTTCTTAGATTGTAAATATGTCTTTCTGTCAATTGCCAACCACCACATAACTTGGATATATGGAATCCTGTCACTCGCACCCAACTACCTGCAGCCAAAAAAAGAATGACTCAATGTCTATTTACTTAGCTGTGCAGCAAAATTATGACTAGATAAATATAATTCGATTAACACAAAAGAATTAGCAATATGATAATAAGTAATATTAAGCGATCAACTAATTTATGACAGATACTGTCAATTTATTTGCATTACATTTAAAGTGGAATGGTTATCAAGATTATACAATAAACTACCATGTTATTCAGAAGATTTTAAATCATGGTAATCTTACATGTGATTAATACAAACAACAAAATATGCATAGATAAATGATAAAAATGAACTTACACGATTACGCAAGTTATAACTGAGTACAAGTGTCCGAGAGAATGAAACTGCAAATTGTGAATAAAATTTTAAAATATCTATAAGTTTATCCCGTTTAATACATTGTAAATCACAGTATGTTAAAGCCCGTACACTTGCTGCACTTTGACCAACATCTGTATCCTTAAATATAGGTTGACCAAATATATCACCTTTTGCTAATATGAAAAGAAAAAAAAATTTTCAATGATTCGTGAAAGAGTACTATTACTTATTAGTCACTGTTTAATATAAAAAATAACCAAAGAGTAATAGTTTCTAAAAGAAAAAATAAGATACCTGTAGTGTCGGTTATTATGTTAAACCCATATACCTTATTCTAGCTTTCGGACAGTCCATTCTATTCATTCTACTTGAGTCACATTCTGACCTTGTTATTTATTCGCTTATCAATCTTGACTGCTTTTATATGAGCGCGTAGGTGTGTGTACACTTCTCATTCCCATTCCTCATCATATGTCTGTAAATTAATTTTGTGTGATTATAAATATTGATTAACGCTTGGTTAAATGGGAGTTGGCTTACCTGCCATCTCCACTGCCGTCGTCTCGCTTCTCTCTATTCCATTCGCTTCACAAAAAAAATTATTATTTATTTACTTATTTGAACACATAAATATTGGTACAAAAGAGCGCCAAATATATATGCGCCACACAAAACAATGCGAATTCGAAGAGAAAAAAAAGGTAAGGAGCGTAAAAAAACAGAACAATAACGAGGAGATTGGTGTAAGGTAGTGTAGTGATAATAATAGTAATAATGAGGGGACGGAAAGGTACAATCAGAAGAAATCTTTCAGGTAAGGGAGACAACCACTTTTTATGAAGAAAGTAAAAGAAGGTTACAGCAGGATCGCCACTGGCTTCTATTCTCAGCCATATCTGATAACGTCTTTAGCCACTGTGATGCACCATCTCTCGGACCCTAACCAGGGATTCGTGAAGGACCAACAGAAGCCAGTCCTTTGCAGCTTTCTTCCATACCACGATACCATGTCATGCACTGACCACCTCTCCGCTTCTTCCAACCAGTCCCAGAGTCAGCAAATAATGCACGGCGTGGAATTCTCTGGGATGACATTCGTAGGACATGTCCAAGCCACCGAAGTCGGTGTTTCAAGGTGGTGACACCAATTGCATTATCGTCTCTGTGCACGAACACATGATGCCGAACCTCTGCATTACTAACATGGTGTTGCCACTGGATGTCAGCAATCCTTCGGAGACAGCGATGATCGAACACAGGGAGTCGTCTAACATCCTCAACTCGGAGAGGCCAGGTTTCACAAGCATAGAGCAAAACTGCTCTCACCGACGCGTTGTATGACGGAAGCCAATAGCTTGGATGCAATCGGAAGTAGACTTATCACCGATAGTTGCTACAGGAACGACGTGAACCCTTTTTAAAGATAGGGACAACTATCGACTCATTCCATGACGTTGGTACACTCTCTAGTTCCCAAACCTTTGTAAACAACGTCGTCAATTCCTTAGTCAGAAAGTCACCACCATCTTTAAAAAGAGCTGGAGGTAAGTCATCTGGGCCAGGTGATTTGTAGCGCTTCAAGAGTTGGATTTCCTTGCGGACTTCCTCCTCGTTTGGTGGATCAGTCGTCACCGGCCATGGAGGGCAGGACAGTCTGACGATGTTGCCGGAGCAGCAGGCCAGTTGAACTGCCCTTCGAAAAATTCTGCCCATCGTCCAAGACGTCGATGGATGTTAGTGATTGGCATCCCATCATCCTCGCAGATTGTTTCACTCACACCAGACTTCTTGCTGCCAGTGGCTCGGATGAATTGGGAGAGCTTCCGGTAGTTACCAGATGCAGCTGCTGCTCCGACCAACCAGGTTTCTCGGTCCTTACGCAAGCTTTGTTCAATTTCATTACGTAACAGTCGTCGTTTGTGGTCAAACTCACGGTCACCCGGAGTAGACCGACGGGCTTCAATGAGTTGTAAGGAACCAGAAGAAACCCAGTGCTTATAAAGGGACGTTTCGCGAAGCCGCAAGCGGCTTTACTCGCCATTTTCATGGCGTCATGAAATTGCAACCAATGCTCATCTATACTTTTCGGTGGAGTGGTAGCTAGCCTAGAGGCTAGCTCGGTTCGATACTTACTTGCAACAGAAGTTGCAACCAGCTTGCTAACATCAATCCTTTGGTGGTGGTCACTTCGTTGGCCACTGAAAAGTAAGGTAAGATTGGCGCAGACCAAGGCATGGTCAGAGTCCAGATAGGTACTCCAAAAGGAGCGGCAGTCTTGTACACAACCACGCCAGCGGTAGCTGATCGCGATGTGATCAATCTGAGTCCAGGCTTGAGATGCAGAGGGAGGACGCCAGGTGGCACATCGGCGATGACTGTGCCGAAAGTTAGTGCTAGCCAGAAACAGGTTGTGGTCTGTGCAAGTTGCAGTAGACGGTCCCCGTTATCTGACCTGCGACCAACGAGTCCCCATCGGCCACCTAAACGACTCTCTTCTGTGCCTAGACGCCCGACCTGAGCATTCAAGTCTCCGGCTAGTACTACAATATCTGTCGAACGCACTTTCTGGAGAAGAACAGATAACTGGTGGTAAAACTCATCCTTGATTGCATCCGGGCTGCAATCTGTCGGGGCATAGGCGGAGATGACGAAAAGACATCGTTTCTCACGCCGATTTCTTCTCACTTTGATGGAACTTTCTAATCTAACAGCACATAACCGACTGTTAATGGGGATCCAATCGACTAGTGCTGCCTCAGCTCTAGCGCTTAGTGCGACACCAACGCCAGCAAGACCAGACGAAGATGCCACAGGGTCCCCGGATAAGCGCACGTAAAACAAGCTTTTCGAAGCGACAGATGGAGATCGAATTTGTAGTACTTCGCCAGAGTCTTGAATACGGGTCTCGGATAGACAGCAAACATCAATATTAAGACTTTCCAAAGACATAGCCAGCCCTATCTGTTGTCCGACCTGCATAAGTGTGCGAACGTTGAAGGCAGCCAGTTTGAATGGTGCACGTGGTTTCAGAAAAACTGCTTCAGTATTCGTATTCGGTGGTAACATACAATTTTCAACCGGACAGTGACTCGAGAACGTTTAGATAGAGTCGAATTTCCACCAAAGACGAGCAGCTTTATAAGTATAAAAGGGGGTGAATAATGTGGTAAATAATGATGATAATAGTGATAGTAATAATAATAATTTGATTGTTAGTTGAAGCAAGTAAAGTAATTTCCATAATGATAGGGAGTTCACCATATTTTTGTGTGGGCTGTGATACTGTCCGGTTGCTCAGACCGAAGCAGGTGGTTATCTTAGGGGGCCACACCTCTAGCCTTTGACCCTAAGGTTTAACCTACAAGGCAGTGGAGCATCGTGAGGCGATGCAGTCCCATGGTAGCCGGTGACCAAGGAATCGGTTCCTGCAGGATACTGGAGCCCATATGCACCATTGGTTTGGGATCCGGTTAAAGCGCCAGACATTCGCTTTTCGTCCTCTCATTTTCGTAAACAACACCCCCGCCACGAGAAGGCAGTGAGTAGGACTTCCCTGGCAGAGGCTGTATACGCGTGACCGTGTGAGAGTATTTCGAGAGTGAGAGCGGACTCTCCCCACTCTCAGCCGTACCAGGGCATGTATTCAAAATCCCATTCTTGTTATTTGACTTATCCAAATCCGTTATTGACTAACGCGATTAAAGTCGCTAATTATATATGAGGATAGGTGATAACAAACATTCATATGATCTACTTGGAGTCAGATCTCGGGCCACTAAAGTGGGGAGCCCTTCCGACAACATCGTTTGAGCTAAATAATGACAAAATTAAGGGCCTCCGCATACCCTTTAAATCCATGTACTGAATTACAATGATTGATACATTCAACTTATTTTAGTTATTGTAAAGTACAAATTATCCTGTTGAACCTATTTTATATTTATCTATCCATGATAGTATCGATTCGAATAATAGACGAGTATATTTGTTAAGTTACAAAACAATTAACTGAAGTAAATCTCGTCAATTCAAAATCTAACATAGTCTTTTGACTAGATAAAATATTTTCTGTATATAAAAGAACCAGGATTCATTTCCGTTGTTTTGTTGTTTGACATATTGAATATATTTTGTTATGATTACTTAAGTATTCTGTTTTATTGTTGATTTAATAGTATGTCAAGATTATCAAATTTCGTGATTTCACATCACAGACTGATTGTAGTTAAACAATCTTTCAGAATTAGAAAGTAGTTTCGTCCTAGTGAGGAAATTCTTTGCAGTGAGCGTTCATTTTCTTATTGATTATCAAATCTAGAATCTTCAGGTTTCGATGTTAGTGCTTAATCTTTAGAACAGTCAATGGAGGTCCAATGATATACACTTGTTACTTGAATCAGTTGGCGATGTTGTGCCACTACCTTCTTATGAAGTTGATGAATAACTACTTTATGCATGACATGATTGAACTAGCTTGGTCACGGCTTGTTCTGAGATGTCCGGAAATCACCTATGGAATTTAGTTACGAGTGAGCATATGATTAATACTAATATAAGGGTTTGTGAATAGCTTTATATCACGAACTGACCCATACTAGAACAAAACATCTGTATAGTGATTCCTGGTTTTCATTTGTTATCTAGCTAAGGTCAATCCATGATCTAAAACCATATTTGATTATCATTGACTCATAAACTACCATGATTCGTCTAATATTTTTCATATATGAATATAAATATTACTGTCTATTACGGTAAAACCTAATGAAGATCCATTATAATATAATATTATTCACTTATATGCATTATTGTAATCTGATATATATATAAAGGCTAAACAATACTGGAGAATTTATGTACGAATTCATTCATTTGCTTATGCTAAATATTTGGAAACTTTGTCGAATATCTTTCTTCTTCTCCTAATTTGGTTATATCGTTTCAATATTATTGATTCGTAATTTAGCTGTCTAACTAGTTTGAATGTCCATCTACTAGTCTTAAATGATTTAAAATGAAATAAAACATCTATAATACGAGGTTTTCTACTAGACGAATAGGTGAAAATTTTCTCTATTTTATTAAAATAAAAAAAATTATTTTGTCTGTTGTTTAGTGTATTTTTATCTAAAAAAAAATCGAGTGTAATTTCTCACGATGAAGTTACCTAGTTACATGAAAGATGGTATGAATAATAATGTGTCTGACAGATGTATTCTGTTTAAAAATGCTCACACTTACGTAAAAAGTACATTTAGTTTTGAGTGTACACTATAAGATATTAGACTGCATTGCTATTGATGCTTAATTTAATTTTGAAATATATACCTACCAAATTGTCATCTAAGTTACTGAACTATACACTGTTTTTCGACGAGAATTGATGCTGCTAATACTAAGTATGAATCTAAAACAAAAGAAGATTGAATAGAATTGATAAGTAAAAATTTTCAACTTACACAGGATAGCTACTATTTCATCATCTTGTATTACTTCTAAAGATCCAGATACTACAAAGCATAACTGATCAATACTTTCACCTTGATGAAAGATTAGATCACCAGGAGCATTATGTTGAACTGTAAATGAAACAGCTAAAGCTCTAAGACAACTTTCACTGGCTAGTCGAAAAGCTGGATGCTCACTAAATACAGCACGATAAAGATGAACACATAAATCAGCTTTCATATCTTTTGGACAGTGACTCAATACCTAAAGTAATCAAAAGATAATGATAATTTTTTCTTAGATAAGATTAATTATATGGCCATATTCATAAGTTATTCATAATAAGACTTAATGTTTATCTTAATTCAATCAGAGCTCTATGTATCTTTCTCAAAATGTTATTTCATAGTGAAAAAACAAACAAACAACGTAATCAAGTTTGATAGAAATGCAAATAAATAAGCTTCTAAACCTTGTACTTGATTAGCTAATCAGAAACAAACTTATTATCTATGTATACTTTTATAGAAAAATTCTGATCAATCATATTTCTAATAACCTAATATCTGATATAAACTAGTAAGCTGGAAATGAAATAAGATATGCATATCAAAGTTGTTTTTACACAATCAGTATACAATAATAATAATAATAATAATAATAATAATAATAATAATAATAATAATAATAATAATAATGAATATTTTCATTATCAGTAACAATTATTGTTCCCCTATAGACAGGTTTATAGTGAACTCGTGAGAAATGAAACAGAATTAGGACATCAATTTTTTGTTAGAAACAAAAAATAAAAGAGTTTTATATGAATGTTTCATGATGTGCATCAATATTTTCATAATTTCAATGTCATTTGACAGTTGATACAGTTATTCAGTTCTTTAAAATAAAATTATCCTTTTAGTTGTTATTGCTTTAAAGTGTAGAAAAAACAAAACAAACTAACTAATTGTTCTCAAATATTTTATAACTGACTATGTTTCACAACAACAATACTCTCTTAAAACTAATCATTATCATATTATAGAATGAACGATTTGACTATACAAAACTATCCCTTTTTAATGTCTACAATAAAATCTTTCAGAAAATTATTAACAAATGATAAAAACAGTTTATTATCATAAATCTAATGAATAAAAAGTCAACAGTATGTAAACATTCTAAGCAGGGATGAACCATTCACTTAGTATTATTTGGCTTGTATCTTCCCATTGAGGTTTAACACACTGATCAGTTGCAGTCTTAAGCCTCAATGGGAAGATACAAGCCAAATAATACCAAGTGAATTTAAATTCACCCCATTGCACAAGCAAGTGGCTATCAGGACTCAGTAGCTAAGTGGATAACGCGATGGTATTTGAAGCGAATGGTACTGGATTCGAGTACCAGGTAGGTACATCCAGCTGACGAGTCCCAAATAGGACGAAACGCGCGTCCCGGATTCCACTGCTAGCCACTATCCATCATTGCTTACAAAAAGAGATGAACCATATTTCTTCTTCGAAAAAAAACGCTGTTCACTTTCGGATTAAAAATGATCCCTAGAAAAAATGTATCACGGTCTGATAATTAATTATTTAAATATTAAAACAAATGATGTAAAACTGTGGTTAACTATGAGCTGCATTGTAGAATAAAAAAGATGAAGTCGTATAAATAGAACTTCTCTGAAATATATTTGGGAAACATCTCTATAATTATATAACTACCATTCTTCATTACTGATTATTGATATTAAGTCTCTGTATTGAGATACCATAAATGTTAGGAAAACATAATGAACTATGATAACTCTATATTGCAGAGAGTGATGAAGACAGTTAGCAAGGTGTGTGGTGAATCTCTTGAGGTCATAATTAATATGGTTGTGGATAGACATCTAAAGTTATGCAAACTCTTGGAAGATGTTATCTTATCAGATACTAACCATCCCCTCCACTCATATCTTTCTCCTTGTATATCTTCTGGCAGAACGAGACGTAATTACATTAAAATCCATGCACGCAAGCAAAAGTATAAAAGTTCTGTAATACCTTACCTAGCAAATATACTCTGTGACAAACAGGTGGTTGAAGTTAACCTAGTCAATAACCTGCATTTTTAAGATGTCTCTAATTTGGAAAGTTGTACAGTTTTTAAGATTTTCTTTAACCTTTTTCACTTCTTGTATGTTGTTGCTTTTTTTGTAAAAGAATCTTGTTGAAATACCTTGTGCTGAGAATTCTATATTGTACCAAAATATAATATTGAATAAAACCATTAATAAGTAATAATAGTAATGTTGTCAAAAAAACTCAAAAACTTATACATCTATAGGGTAATTATTACTAACCAAGTTTTGTTTTACTCATAAATCTATTTTTAAGGATATATTTATCCAATTAGAATAGTCTGAAACTCATTTTTGATCTGTATGAAATTCCTAATCCGCTATTATGAACTGATTGATTAGACTGGATCTGTAAATTCCATTGAAAAGGAATGAATTAGTAAAAAAAAACTGTGTTTGCTCTACTGATTGTCCTACATCTCATTGAGCCCTATGAATATCAAACGATTACAACCTGATGTGTAACTGTAAAGAATCATGATTCGACAAAAATACACGATTAATGTTTCAAAAATTACAATATAAAGGAGGCACAAATGATTTGCGTCGATTGAATAAACATTAGGATAACCCATAGAATGAAGTAAAGAAATTTTTACTTCACCTATCAACAGCTTGAAATATTAGAAACTAGTGAACATATTTGATGGAGTTTTGTTCTCTGAGCTGGATGGTTTGGTCGTGGAGCTTTCATCGTTCTTCTAAACAACATCATCAGCACAAACTTCAGATAGACTTCTAGTGAACACATTCTCCACCAAAATCCTTTACATCAAATTATGTTTTTAAAATAGGAAAAAAATGCAACATATACTTCAATTTACTTACTGTTTGTGTATCTACACCTTTTGTAATCGACCAACTTGATGTTACGTAATCAATAACTCTTTCAGCTAATTCTTTAGGTACTTCATGAATTCGTAAAAAATCTTTCACGCTAGACATTAATTGTCTAAGTCTTGCACGAGTTGCATGTGTTTGTTGTAAAATAGTCGCCACATTACCAAATATTGTAGCATAAACAAGTGCTATTTAATATTGTGGTAAATAAAATTTAAAAAAGAAAACATTTCAAAATGAACAAAACGATGCTACTATCATTGGCTAAATAATGAGGTAAATATCATACACTAGGTAGTACAAGTGAATCCGTATATTCAACGATAAGTTATACTTAATTGTAAAGTAACCAGTTTTAATATTTGATTTCCTAATAGATAAGCCTATAAATGAATTCCAACGCAACTAGCCACAAAATATATAATCGTATCAACAGGCCTTAGGTCCATATTATTATTTGTTAAATTTACTAAACAGCTGTCCCAATTACAACAAATGGTACTGACTTTCATTATACACTTTGTGAGGGATCAATTCAGGAGAATGTCCTATAAATCCTTAATACTTTAAGTTTAGTTTTCTGATTTTGGTATTTGCTACATAACCTATGAATTACATGTACGTAGCATAAATAGAGTCCAATGACTAACGGATATAATATTCAAGAAAAAATAATTTATTTGAGTATTAACAAATCCCAAATTAAAAAATAATATTCAAACAATGAGTTTTCCCAACGTTTTCATTTTTAGTAGCTGTATAATCGTATTCGTATGAGATAATGAGTGTGGTGAACAAGTTTTGGTATTGTAAGTACAAAATGAATGTAAATAATAGAATGTAGATTGTAATAATGGGTAAAACAGATTATAGATAAATGACTGAATTATGATAAAATATAGTGAAGTTGTAAATCATCGCAATATTTTGTATTCTGGACGAAATTGTTCGTGATATTGCTGTATAAACTACATTATCATTATGATGTAAATTAGATGAGGGTTCCAGTGCGATCAGAGACTCGCGTTTCGTGTTGTTTAGGACTTGCCAAATGGAGTTGACTAAATCTAGGTTGATGTTCACATGGAGACTTTAAACCAATTGCCTTTTACTTCAGATGCCTAAAACGCTATCCGCTGAGACGGGTATGAATTTCATTTGTCACGGTGTAACTTGTCAAAATATATTCATTGGACAAGTAATATATGACATCAACACTTATATTTCCCAAAAATCAGTAGTCTCTAGTAAATTTGTTTCTTTGAATTATATATCCAAGTGATTATCGTGAAGTTTGATTTTGTATGAGGTCCTGAGTATTAATTGTTTAGGAGCTCAAAACTAGAATTTATCAACTGTTCAGTACCCTTTAATTTGGAATGATTGTTCAACTAATGGAGGCCCATAATGAAAACTGTTTCCAAAATGAATAATTTTTTATAAATCATTTGACTCAATAATATAATTACTAACCTTGAGATGAATTTTTCAGAAGTTCTAGTGTGAAACTATGACTTATGGCGTCAGTGACTATCAATTCTTTCTCTTCATTCTTAGATAATTATCAATACATTATGAATCATCGCACTAGAGAGTCAAGGTTCCTTCAAAAAAATTTGCTCTAATCATTATCATTTAACTAAGTTCATAGTCTACACGTGTTTTATTTAAATTCAACATTTAGTTCTTAGTAGAAAGTGATTAGTTCTTTAAAATTTCTGATTTGTATCTAAGACTGATGTGGAATTTGATAGCCGAACAGAACTAATTTTAAATATACACAACAATGAGATCTAATTTCATAGCTAGTAATAATGAATCTCCTTGAATTATACTATTTATGGCAATCTCTACGATACTAATCGTGATACTTTTCAAATTGTAGTGATATGAATTGATCAGGAGTAGTTGGTAAATAGTCCATAATACTTTACTAATCTCTATAACATGAATTATACATAAGGTTTAAAATGAAAAAATTGATACAGGACAACAGGTCAATACCTTTCAATCATTCAAGGTGATCAGTAAGCAGCCAAACTCCAGTCTTCTGAAGTTTGCTGAAGCCGTTGTTATCAGACGTTAAAAACCTGACTTATGTGCTCAGAAGGAGATCGTTATTAATCTTTCCTTGCCTTGATGATAAATATTCCTTCTCAGCATCTTAAATTTTTTTTCTTTCTATTTAAACTCTTTCTTGCATCTATTACATTATTGAGTTTTATTTCAACTATCTTCCAAATTCATTATTTTATCAACTGAGCTCTACTCATTTTATTCGTATCAATGTTTACTCATCACTTGTTTCTGGCCCTTTGAACTGTTGTCATAATCAATGTTGTAGAATGTTCTTTTACATAAGGTATATATTTATAATATTCAGTCTATTCAACATATTTACACCCTTACTATACTATACTGATATGTCTTCAGTATAACTTCCAACCAAACCTTCTCATGCAGGTAATTTAAATCCATTACGTAATTATGATTTTAAATATCACAGGTTGTAATCAGCTGACGAGAACCTACGAAAGAAAAGGAGTTCATGCTATTCTGCTAAAATTTTTATTCCTACTCTTTTCAAAATGATAAAAGGAACTATGTTTATGAAAAGATTATTTAATTTCTATAAACAATAATAAAAAAAATAATAATCTAAGAATTTCAATATTAACAAAATAGAATTTATATAGTTGAAATCATAAGTCGATTGAAGCTAGACCACTATGGATAACCTGGAAGCACTGGATGGCCGTTTCGTCCTAGTATGGGACTCCTCAGCAATGCGCATCCACGGTCCCGCCCCCCGAGACTGATGGGTCCTGGGTTCGAATCCCGTGAGGCGTGGTTGTGGATGCGCGCTGCTGAGGACTCTCACAATAGGACGAAAAGATCATCCAATGTTTCCAGGTTTTCCATGGTGGTCTAACTCCAATTAACTCGTGATTTCAACTATTAAAATTGCTAAAATCTTCACAAAACCCCTTCTGACAACTAAAATATTATTTACATAAATTTTATCGTGACTATTAAATATTTAAAATTGTTTAAATTAGGAAACAAAAGTATCCATTCTAATCCTTTTTTGTTTAAAAAAAGAACACAACAACAACTTAATTATTATTTACTTGTATAAGAGTATACTTAAATTATATTTATATTGATAAGAAACGCCTATTTCATTAACAATTAGGCCATAAACAAACTCTATGGTGAGTTTGATTTCTACTCAAATGTAAATAACCATAATATGTATAACTTAAAAATTCATGTTTATTCTTATGTCTCATTATTGTCCTCATTAGATAAATATCTCTGTTGTATATTTATAGTATAGATGAGTGAATTTTAACTTCTATAATAATATAAAATAAACATAGTCAATTATCTGATCAATACTTATTTATATGATATTTATAAAGGTTGGACTATGTAATGACTAGTTTTGTTTGAATAAAGCATTGACCCTATAATAATTGATCTGATGAACTATAACATCCTCTTCATTCTTTACCATATTCAGTTGAAATTTTTAATCAATGAGATTTCTATTTTACATGTTATGAAAAAGCATAGAAAGTTAATTGTTTGCTTAGCGGATTATTCAATAGCCAACTTTATAAAAGACTTTTAGGTTCAAAGTTCAGTTTGAAATAAGATCTATGGTCTACATGCCTAAGGATTTGTGTCAAATATCTATGCGACTTATCCTAGTTCTCAGTTTAATGACGTTCGTGACTTGAGTTGTTCTTACAGTGATTTCTCCCTAACTAATTACAAAAAAAAATAGATAAAAAATTTTGTCTCAATACAAGGGAATTTATTAAAATATTGTCTTTGTTAGGAAGTAAATACATAGTGTTCTTTTGAACTCAGAAATGAAATCTGTATGATTATCATTTGTTAGAGATAAATTTTACAATCTAAAACCGTACATATATATGTATGTATATAATTGAATTTATTGATGTACCATTTACTCATTAGTTAGTTTGAGATAACTCTTTAGAAAGAAATATTTCTATTTACAAGATTTGGTAATTAATTCGGTAATGGATTCAGTTGGAAATCTTTCACAGTTGCCTTTTCTACTTTAGCTCATATGAATGCAAGCTTATTATAACTTTCCGTAAATTACAAATTATGTATTTCAACAAAATTAAAATATTATCAGAATGGGTTTTGTGGAGATTTTAGAAATTTCACTGGTTGAAATCATGCGTTGACTGAAGCTAGACCACCATGGAAAACCTGGAAGCACTGGGCGGCCGTTTCGTCCCAGTATGGAACTCCTCAGAAGTGCGCATCCACGATCGCGCAACTTCGTGGATTGGTTGAATTTAGGTATTAACACCGTTGGATGCCGGCCAGCTCAGTGGTCTAGTTGGTTAAGCGCCTGCTGCGAGACTGATAGGTCATGGGTTCGAGTCTCGCGGGGGGTGGGATCGTGGATGCGCACTGCTGAGGAGTCCCATACTAGAACGAAACGGCCGTCCAGTGCTTCCAGGTTTTCCATGGTGGTCTAGCTTTAATTGACTCATGATTTCAACCAGTGAAAATTAAAATAATAAATTTTGCCAATATTAATTATTCTTACTTAAATTCTTCAACATTATTTGCTTAGTTGACGAGTTGATATTGTTTTTTCTTCCCATAGTTCATACTTTTGTATTATCACTGTCTGAATCTAATTTGTTTTTGTTCTTAAGAATGTTTTTCAACAGAAGTCAGTTTCATATAAAATGATTCTTATTTACTAAGTATTAGATAACTAATAGAATTTTAGAAGGAAAATTATTATTCTTAGAGAAATTTGTCTATATTAAAAATAGTTGTTCCACCAACCATTTATTGTGAAGGTACTTTAGTGACTGACAAATTATATTTGTTTCCTGGACTTCGATTGGTCATTATTAATAGATTATACTTCTTATTTGTGATCAAATGCTATGTTTCCCCCCTTTTTTTATGACATAGCTTAATGAGTGTTTAAGCCAGTTTACAGATATTCTTAACAAAAGTTTCATAGATTATTATAAAATAAAGTTCTTTAATGAAGGTGTGCAAAAATTCGAATGATGTGGTTCAAATTAGATCTATATGTAAAAGACCTAAGGTTATCACGACTTTTTACTACTGTGAAAACACAAATAGACAAAAAAACTACTGACCAGACTAATTATATGCTCATTAAACTGATTTTTCACTTACAATTAAACAACTCTTAAAACATACATTCATTAACTAAATAAATGGATACATATTACAACATTGAAATTAGAATTATACAGAAATAATTCAAACATGAAGGCGTGACCATAATATTATTTACTTAGTTATGAGAATACCTGTAACTAATCAGTAATGATAATGAAATTCACAAAGCAATTAGTGTGGCTCCATATTTGTCACATCCAACAGTAGACAATATAAATCAGAATAATTAATTACTTATAGTATATATTTATTGTGATTCACAGTGGGATCCAAGGTGATCTTTTCATCCATCTTGGGGTTCATCAACTAAGAGGAGAATTCAGTAACTTTCGCTGTAAACACGAGTGCTTCACTTACTAATCTACTGAGTCCATAGAGTGAATAGCATGTTCAATGAGTATGGATATATACTAAAAATCTGTAGCTTGGGGCAATATCGAAGCAATGCACTTTGTGTGTACATAAGTCAATAGAGATTGATAAATTAAAATCAACAGGAAAATTCACTCACTATTTATAGTTGAATTGTTTGATTTAATAATTATCCTATGTTTCCTATTCAATCAACGTCAACCACCAACGAAATTTAAAAAAGTATAATTTAGCACTACCCAACTTTTTCTATCTGAGGAAGATTTACTTAACTGGGCAAGGATATGAGATCAGTTGTGCAGACTGGTATGAAAATTGTGACTTATGACGATCGTTCACAAAAATGAAATTACTAACGCAGTCATTGATAAACGGATATCAAAATACAAGACAACTGATCAACAATAAAAGTCAGTTGTGTAATGAAAAAGCAGGTATACAATATTTAGCACGAAATAAACTTGAGTAAATCTGATTTAAAACGTAAATGATAATAGGAATTGTAATTTTTTAGATTTTTGTATCTATTCATAAAATTTAAATTTGTTTACTTAACTTCATTCTATTCTGTGATATTCATAATTACCAGTAGGGGTTGTGGAGATTATTAGTTTATTGAGTGAGACCTTGAACCGATTGATGTTAGACCACCATTGAAAACCTGAAAGCATTGTGGGACTCCTCAGCAGTGTGCATCCATGATCCCGGTCGCAGGATTCGAACCATGGCCTTCAGTCCCGAGCGCGAACGCTTAACTTACTTAACCACTGAGCTGGCATCCAACGGTGTTAATGTCTAACATCAACCAATCCACGAAATTGCTCGACTATCTTCCATTGTCTGAGGTAGATACCTGTCTCTACCCAACACGGAACAACTCCACTGGTCACTTCTTACTAGAACTCCGAGAATCCCCTCATGAAGTTAGTCCCACGAGTGGGATCGTAGATACGCGCTGCTGAGGAATCCCATACTAGGACGAAACGGCCGTCCAGTGCTTGCAGGTTTTCAATGATAGTCTAACATCAACCGGTTCAAGATTTCAATCAATATTCATAATTGCCATTTGATTCAATTGTTGCTTTTGTTTTCAAATTACCATACTTACAATTTAATTTAAATAGTATTTAGAATAGTATTTATCACTTACCTCCAATTAGCATAAAAATAATAGAAACAACTTTTTCTGATATTGTATTCGCTGCAACATTTCCAAATCCTATACTAGTTATCACAGATAAAGTAAAATAAAATGATGTCATGTATAGCATAGATTGTGATGGTAAATATTCCTCTAATGATGTATTAGACCAATTTTTCGGACCAGTTGTTTCATTCATTAAATGTATTATCCAACCATGATAAATTTTATCTTTTAAATCATGCATTCCAATTAAATACCAGACACAGGCTAACCAATGAGCTAATAGTATAAAACAGAATAGCATAATTAATAAAATTGACGCCACATATTCCAAATATTGGTCTAATTTTCTCAATACTCGACATAATCGTAATAAACGTGCCAGTTTTAATATACTGGACAAATTGACTAATGTCTGTAAGTTACAGGAAACGAAAAATAGAAGATAAATAAACGTAGAAGAAGATGTATTCTTAGACAGTAATATTTATTAGAAATTTTCCTAATATAAAAAAGAACTTACTGTCCAGTTTATGCTAAAAGAAGAATACTGCTTAGTTAAAAGATGGTTATTTTAAATGTAATGATTAATTGAAATCGATGACCTACTTTGGTTCATATCAGAATATTATGAGCAGTCGACTGGAAACTGTTGGCGTAGACATCATACAAATTGGTGTATCTGCTGTCGCTAAATACCATCCTTATTGATAAAATTTGATTAGGACTAAGAACAAGGTAAACTTGGCTTTGGTTGCTACACGGTTGTCAATCAGTATAATTTTTCTACTTAGATGTAAGGATGGCGATACCCTAAATGATCCAGAAGTTTTATTTTTAACTTTGTCAGGGGAGGTATTAGTCATATAAGAATTTCAGACATAGCATGTTAGTAAGTGCCAACCAGCATAAAACCTGGTTCTAGGAATTACTGAAGATTATCTCCAACCAGTTAAGACCAAAATTTAATTCTATTGTATTACATGACTACCAGTGTAATTGACGGATAAAAGGTGACGATTCAGTCTATATTTTAAAATAAGTCCAATTTAATTACCAGCGCACCAAAATGAAGCATTTTATTATATAAATGTTGACAGCTTTTTATAAAGATTATCAGTTTTTCGAAAAAAAATTATTGAGCATCCTTGTAAAATTAACTGTTAGACAATGAAAATAAAATTCTTTTATATAACCAGTAATTAGAAAAGTTTACTAAGACCTAAAAAAGGCATTTGAAAACTTAAGTCAGTAAGTCAGCTACAACGTAGGTTAAATCACGTATATGAATCTGTCCAATTCGCCACACCTCAATAGCACAAGATCAACACCAAATTCATGGACGTAGTTACTTCAATGGTAGTAATATATAAATGAAAGATTGTGTATAGGGATATAATACAGGAAGAAAGAATTAGTCGGTAGAGAGAAAGGTATAAAGCAAATTTAATCCCACGGTTTAAGGGAAGACAATGAACGCATACATCTAAGCCATTGTGATTGATTCTGCACCATGTCACCCAGTCTCCAACCATTGTTACGATAGTCACGCGAACCCCAACCAAGTATTCTGCATCTACCAACATGGCTCAGACTAGAAGTTAGTGACTTCAAGCACTGATGCCACGTTTTGGTTTGGCCGCCCTAACTTTCTTCCATCCTTCTCCAACACTAGTTAGCATTGCACGTCGTGGTATTCGGTGTTCAGGCATGCACAACACGTAGCCCAACCATCTCTGTCTATGAAAATTTACAACCTCATCAACTAATTTGAAACTTAAAATGTGTTTACGAATATTCGACAATAAATGGACAAACAGTTTGTTAGAAATCATATGTAAATATCTACGTGTTGTGAAAAAAAATTATAAACTCATTTATTATATTTTTGTAGGTTACTTAACTAAACATTTTGAATGGAAATGAAGTCTGTCTAGGAAATTTACTCTCAGTTTAACTGAGACTTAGAACTTAGAAAAATACTTTTTCATCCGGATAAAAACTGCTATTTGTAACCATGTTTCACTATTATTTATATGAGCTTGTAAAATCTGTTTCATTTTACAAATCTAATCGTTTACTTTGTACTGTCTCTTGTATGGAACACATTGCTTCATTTAACATGTGTTAAGTGGAAATGAAACTTACCATACTACACAGATGTTTCTAAAATGTGATCATCATAAACTTTATTATGCATAATGTATACTATTATTCAAAACAATACTGACAACAAAAAAATTGTGTTTGATATAAATTTCGTTGACATGGCAATCATCCACCCACGCATTTTTTTTCTAATTATTTGTATCTTAGATTATATATACTGTCTCAAAAGTCTTCAGAAAGTAAGATCTATTCTGAGATGGTAGGAAGATTTGTAGCTCAGGTGGATGATTTTGGAGTTGGATGCAGCTCAGGAAACAAAACTCCATCAAAAGCAAAATGTATTCTGATACAATAACTGAAGACAAATAATTATTTGTCAATTAAACATTTATTAACAATAATCTATACTGTACAAATTAATGATTTATTGCAATTATATTCAACTCACTGTATGATCACTAAATACTGCTAGAATTCCAAATGGTAGCGAAGAGATTAAATCAACTATAAACCAACCTTTTAAGTAATTCAAACGTATCAATACTGGATCTGAAATAACCGCACCAGATGAGCCAACAAAAGTTGTATGGAAATTTAAAACAATATCAATGAAGAATATTATATCAACTATATGTTCAACAGCAAAGTATATTGATTCTTCTGATAATGTATCATGACCGAATGCAACACTATACGGAATAATAATACATGTATAACCAGTTAATAAAAATATTATCCAATCCCAGGCAGTTTTAAATGTTAAATAATGTAATACAACATGTGGAGGTGTTTTTGGTGACTCCTGACGGTATTTTGGTATACTGTTGCTTTGAATGGGAGCAACCTTAAAATATAAATAGAGAAAAGTAAACATTACTTGAAAATTATTACTATGCATATAGAAAATAAATAATGTTTCACTGTTCAACCAGTCTTTCTTCTTTCGAACCGAATGAGTCAGGCCAGTTGAGAGATGTTCAGCTAGATATAAAGGCAGGTCAAAAGAAAAGCTTCCATGCATTAAAAAACTGATCATATCAAACTTTTGGTGAAGTGATACATAATTATTCACTAGTTGACTAGAACTCCAGTGAATTCTGAGTACGTCCATTCGTAAGTAAATGGATTTAAAATTGCTGGCATAATCCAACATTAAAAATTATGATAGAAGGAAATAAATCATGCGTGTATAAATCCAAATCACTCCATCTTTTTATAGGAAATTTTCCTCTGTGATCGTACGTTTGATTATATATTAGAGTAGATTAAAACCTATTGAAACTCAGGTAAGTGACGTACTTGCATTCAAGCTAATCGAACGATCGATTGATTAAAACGATTACAAATACCCTTTTTATATATGCTTGATTTACATTGTCACAACTCATTTGGTTAATTGTAAACAGTTGTATTCTAGATAAAGATAATAGACTGAAAGTATCACACCTAATTACTTGTTTTCATCTTGGTTAAAATGCCATGTGAAAAGCACTTTAAGCTTTCAGAATTTTTCAAAATAGTTGCATAGAATAAGAATTTTTGGTGTGGTTATCATCACATCATTATTTATTCAGATATTTGAATTCTAATTTTTAGATCAAAAGTTCAGATACACTATTGGATAGTAGCATTATCAATCATATATACACCATAAATCGAAACAGAGCACATGATTCTATGCTGAGTTGTACTAATTTAAACTATATTCCCTCACAGTTGGCTACTATTCAATTGATATGAAATAAAGGTTTGCTATGATACATAAATTATTAACTGAACTTTGTTTTCGGATGTATAACTTCGTATAAATGATTGACTAAATTTATTGGTTAGTATATGAAGTTTGCAAAGACTTTAGACACACCTTAGACACATTTTACTGATTTTATCATTATGGGAAATGGACAAATAAATATCTTTATATCATAAAATGAATAATTTAGTAGATAAGCTCACTTGATTTATTCAGACAGATAATAATTTCTTAATAATGTAAATATCCTAAAGAGTGAAAACATTGTCTATACTATCCTTATGTATTAGACAAAATTTCCAGGCACAAGACTGAATTATACATATATTTCTGAAAAATGATGATTTCGAAATATCTATCACTAGTAGCTTTATAGATTAATTGAGTTGTATCACATATATACAAGTGGATAGAATATTTGTTGAAGGTATACATCACATATTGACTGTTGTAGTATTATTGTGATTCAGTGATTGCTGGAAATTCGTTTCGTCCTAGTATGCTACTTCACAGTAGTGCTCATCCACAGTCACACCAGTAATTATACTCAAAACGTTGAGGTTTTGAGGAGAGTGCTTATCTGTTTGGAATCCAGGAATCTGAATTTCCAACTTAGACCAATTTTTTATATAAAGCAGCGATCATCTAATGTCATAAGTGTTGATTGCCTTACTCTCGATGAAATAGCTTGTTACTGCACCTTAGTTATCAGTGAAATCTCGAATCAAATAACTTCGACATAAGTATCACGTGAAAATTATATGAGCCTCCATAAAAATTCCTAACAAGTGTGGATAATTATTTTTCAATCATGTTTAAAATTATTCACATCATGGGAACTATAATATTAACAAAATATATCCATATTCTCTTGAATAACAATTATGTTTAGTCAAAAAGATAAATTTATGTAAACACCTACTTAGACAATTAATAAATTAGTCAGTACTCTATCACTATCCATTATGAAGTGAAATCAGTCAGTTAGCTACAAATTAGGACCAGGCACATACATGCATCGGTCATTACAATTTCATTAATACATTAACATTAGTAATTAATAATATATTACTATAATTATGAAATATACATAAATGAATAAAATTTATTGATGACTTGCGTCTCAGATGAGTTATTAGTACCATGACAACTTTATTAAAATAAATATTTATCATTTATATGATAAAGAGTAGATTTGTAATTCAGAATAATATTTTGTCTGAACCAAATCATCTGACGGTTACTTGAGACAAAAATTGTTTATATGAGAGGTTATACCGATTTTTTTTATGAGATCATGAACGATTGATGTAAGACCACCTTTGGAAACCTGTAATCACTGGACGGCCGTTTCGTCCTATTGTGGGATTCCTCAGCAGTGCGTATCTACGATCCCGGTAGCGGGATTCAAACCCAGGGCCTTCGGTCTCGCGCGAGAACGCACAACCAACTGGACTACTGAGCCGGCATCCATTGGTGGTAGTGTCTAACATTAACCAATCCACGAAATTGCGCGACCAACTTCCTGTCTCTACCCAACATGGATTAGCTCCACTGGTCACGGCTTCTCACTAGAACTCCCTGGGTTCGAATCTCGCGGGGTGCGGGATGGTGGATGCGCACTGCTGAGGAGTCCCACAATAGGACGAAACGGCCGTCCAGTGATTACAGGTTTCCAAAGGTGGTCTAACATCAATCGATTCATGATCTCAATCAAAAACTTAATAATCTCCACAACCCCCATACTAGTATACCAATTTTATTATTCATTTGCCTTTTTTTATTTTTCAATGTCATACAAAATCATCAATATGTTTAAATTCTTTGAATTTTGAATACCTAAACTAGATGATGAGATAGTGGAAAAGATTTGTAGCTTAGGTGGGTGATTTGATGGGGTTTTGTTCTCTGAGCTGGATGGTTTGATCGTGGAGCTTTCATCGTTCTTCTGAACGATATCATGAACACAAACTGCAGGCACAAGTGAAACGTTCGAATTTCTCTACATGTGGTTCACAGCTTCTCCCGTAGACCTCGATGTTGATTGGTTCTTGTTGACCTTAAACCTGTCATTGTTCTTTGTTTTGGTTGTATCTCCCATTGGTTTGATTTTTGTTCCTATGTTTGTGAATAATTTTCCTGGTTGGTTTGATTGGATCGATTTAGATGTGTTTGTTGATTGCTGATTGACCCGAGTATTAGAAGGGGTTTATGGGGATTTTATTAATTTCAATAGTCGAGATCATGCGTCAATTGAAGCTAGGTCCTGGGTTCGAATCCCTCGGGGCGGGGTCGTGGATGTGCACTGCTGAGGAGTTCCACAATAGGACGAAGCCGCCGTCCAGTATTTCCAGATTTCCCATGGTAGTCTAGCTTCAATCGACTCATGATTTCAACCACTGAGATTGACCTGAATGCCGAGCTTCTAAGAAATCTGTTTTTGGAATTTCCTCTTTCCAAGACTTCCACATTTTTCCAGTCAAATGAGTGTCCTCAGTTTCCCACGTGCATTGATAAAAGTTCGGCACTCAAGTTTGATTGTTCGAAATGTATTGCGCAAATTTACCACATAATTCTGATAAACTTCGTCGTCTCATTGCATTATCGAAATCGTTTGTTTATTAGGTATCCATTGAAGTATATTCTATCATAGGAGATGAATTCTGAAACTTATCTAATTTAAACTCAATACTATTAGGAAACTATAAGTGTAAGAACTAAATAATCATATAAATGCATTATTCAATAATCTACTCTATAAAAGAAGATATGGTTTTGAATGTAATTAATTTCTAATAGTTTCTTACTTTGAAAAAAAAGAATATCTTAATAAAATTAAACAATTATTATACAATTAGGAAAATTCACTTACAGCAACCAATGAGTCGTCTAGTTCAACTTGTGATAACACAGTTTTATTACGAGCCACTGAACGTGCCAACTTGGCAAATTTACTAAAACCTTTGAATAAAAGTAAAGTATAAGGATAATCGGGTTTTTTTTTAGAAAACTGTATATGATGAGCTTTAAAGAGAAATATACGTAATAATAATAATATAATAATGAAAATAAAATGTTACCATATATTTGTACCATACATAATTCCTCCATAGCAACAAGACATTTTAGGATTAAGTGATATTAATATTATTTGAAATTAGCTTAATAAAATAAAGATTGATATTTTTTTGCAAATCTGATTGAATTTTTCACAGTTAAGATTATTTTTATTGTTTTTCATTTTGAGGTTTCATTATATTGAAATTAGTTGGATAACTTATATGAATGTGAAAATAATTCAGTAAATAAATGAAGTATCTTTTTGAGAAAAAGTTTTACCCTGAACATTTACATTACTACTATTTTAGATCCATTGAAAAAAATAATAAGTTTTTCATAGTATTAATAATCAGGAATGTGTCATTTTTAAGTAGTATCATAGTAATTGCCAAATAAAGTTCATGTTTTATAAATTATCTGACTTGTGAACACTGTCTACTTATCATAATGAAAATTTTTGACGGTGAATATGTACAGTGTTTTCTAGATTATATTTACACTTGCAAATCTTTTACGAACAGCATCAACAACCAGGATTGTAGATTAAAGTACACTGGTTTATTATACTTCTTGTTAATGGGATCTACAGTGACTGACATGTTCGTCACGATCACACAAGAAATATTTCTTATTTCAGTGTAAAATACCACTTTCGACAAATATATACATAACAAATAATGACTGAACAGCAGATGTCACCAATAATCAATCAATTTAATATCTCCGGGCATCTGCTTTCAGCTATGCTTTCATTAAGAGTTAGAAAAATTAAAATACGGGAAAAATACTTTGGCAGTTGAGATAGGGGGTTGCGTTTTAAGAGTAACTGCCCTTTGAGGTCCAGTCCTTAAAAGAAGAAGTTTTAATTTAAGTTTAGATATCACATCTAATGATGAAGTGATAATTTAGAAAAGAATAAGCACAAACTTAGTTTTTAATATTCTATCCTTTTGTTGCGTAGACGAGAAAAATTGAGAAGTTCAATCCCTGAGTCACTAGTTCCATTGAATTCTGACGATGAGCATTTTTTTCTCTTCACTATTTAATACCCAACTGTAGTGTGGGTTACTTATATCCACATAAGTAGTATATAACGATGGTCAGGCATAGAATGTATTTCAGTAGCAGATTGATAAGGAAGGAATGGAAACGGAACGCAATTGGTATGAAAATGCATGGATAATGAAATCTGAGACAATGAACTGATATTTGCAAAAGGAACAGTCAAGTTTGAGACGATGGATTGATATTTTGCAAATTAACTATTTACTATATGGTTCTCAAATTTTATTCAGATGGTCTGTAATTTCCTGTCAATTCTATTCTATTGTCCCCACTCGTGTTCTTATTCACTACACGACAACAGAAATCTATGAACTGTTAAGTTATTTACTCAAAGGGCTTAATGTATTTCACTCTAAATCTTCTATTAAGGATAGCTATCTTAATTTACGAATAACCCATAAATATATTGACCGGAATCTGTCGCTCCATACAAAGAGATATCTTTGATTCACAGAATTTCAATTCACTAATTTTATAAGAAATAGAAATAATCTCTAAATAATTAATAATTATAAAAAACTTACTTCCACTAAGTGTCTCGTCGTCCAGTGGTTGTCTGAGTGGTGATATATCATAAAATAAAATAAGATATAGAGGTATTTCATGTTTATCATTTTCAACTGGAGCCACACACATAATAACCCAAATCATTGAACCTGAAGTATGCAAAGAACTAATTAATAATTACCTAGTAAAATGTAAGGTTGGGAGTGGGTATATTATATGAAAAAAATTATTATAATATACAACAGAGTAAAATATTCAAGATTTATAGTCTAATAACTTATTGACAAACCTAATCAACTATTTTCACTAAAACAAAGTCAACAGTCTTAGGTGACTATGAATGTTTCATTTCTTTTGTCAATGAATTGCTTACGTTCTAGATATAAGAGCGATAATGATCTACAGATGGATGCATAAAAGAGTTTTTGTCAGTGAAGATTGCAAAAAAGGACCAGTGGGTTTAGAAAGATCATAAAAAGTGTTCACGCGGTCATATATATATATATATATAACTAGCTTCAATGTTCTGGAAGATAAGCTTTAAGACCCACGAACATTCATCTTTTGGAAAGTTGGTGTTAAAAGTTATATATTAGTGAAAAAATGGATTGATGAGCTAAATAAAAAGAGTAAAGCTCATATAAGATCAATAATAAATAAAAGGAATTCATAATCAAGAGCACGAAATTAGATGTTACGTAACTAATTTTCGGAAACTAATGCTGCCAGAGGAGGGTAAGACTAACCTCACCATCACTTTGGATTTACGAATATGATTTAATCCTTTTATATCGATGGTTTTGGAAATTAAAAGTAATTAATTTATTCTTTACTTAGAAGGATTTTGAATTGTCAACATAGAATCGATTATCAAGTAGACGACAGAGAGTCTCACTGTTAAAAACTTGTTGAGTTTTTATTCTATACTTCTGTAGTGCGTGTTCTTTTAACTCTGAAATATGTGGCTTTCACTGGCCGAAGATCTGGCTCCATTTGGTTCGTATGAATGCTCGTTATTGAAACATACATGTCGTCAATCCACGTATAAAATAATCGTTTAAATGGCGTTAGTGAACAACGGAATTAAATAAGTGAAGTATGGGATTGAATTTCGAATACGTGTATTTCATTTAATCGTCGATCCTAAGGCGAAGTAAAGCAAAACGACACTCAATGGAGGAAGGAATTGAGCCAACTCAATTTAACCATGCGTGAATCGATATTTATGGTCACACAAAATTAAGTTACAGACATGGATGAGTAAGATAAGAAATGCACACACATACGCTCACATAAAAACAGACAAGGTTGATAAACGAATAAGGGACAGGGTAAAAATGTGGCTTGAGAAGAATGAATAGATTGATCTGTCCAGAGGCTAGAATAACCTATGTGGGCTTGACATAGTACCAGCCCCAACAGACTCAGAACATATATGTAACTTCCCAAACACTTTAAAAATTTGGATTTCTTGACACACTCACTCCGTCTCCATTTCAGTGGTCGATTTGAGCATAATGATAAACGTTTTTTAAATTATTTATATGGTTTCCAAATTTAAGGAGGAATTAATCTAGTAAGACTAATGTGTAGAACTGAGATTCTTTTAATTCAGTGTTTTTACAAATCCACTAATGTGTATAGATTACTGAGATTTATTAATTGAATAATATTTGGTTTAGGGGTTTGTAGTAGTCACTTATCGTGAAGTTAGTTTTCACTGAGAGCTGATATCATGCAAAAAACATCTGGGCCTAAGAAGGATAGCATAGCTTTCTCACCCTAACTTGGTACTGTTTAATATTTAAAACCTATAACTCCATTGCAGACCGTATAAATCACAGTTTAAAGCTCATACTATTCATTCAATGGATTGAAATTCACTCATTCATATTTTCATTTTTAATCGATTTATAATCTAATATAATCACAGCTGCTTCCATGTTTAGTATTTGTTTCACTCAATATATGACTATAATCTCTTAGTCAGTGGTATCCATTAACTTCTCAAACCTGATCAAAGGTGGGAACTTGACTACATTTGTACAGAAGAGTTGTAAAAATGACGTATTTATTTTTTCCCATATTGCTAATAATTTGATGGTAAGTTGAATGTATCGAAAGTCATAAATTAATGTTTATTGAGTAAACACTACTTAACCGGAAATTCAGTACTTAATACACATAGATATTACAATATTCTACGATTGTATTATGTTTACTTGAAGCGTTAATCCTTTCATGCTTACTTCGAACATCTAGATTATGCAGCGATGTCAAATAAAAAAAGATCATTCGCTGCATGTAGAGAGAAAAAGCATTTGACCAAAACATTTTGTCATAAAGGTATTTATTATTATTATTTGAAGTTTGCTTGACTATAAACGATGTATGCTTAAATCGAAATAAATAAATTAGCATTTTAATGAGAAAATTTAATTCAGAATAAAATAAGCAAATGAATAGAAAAACTTTAATATTTCAGAAACATTTTTTCTACTCAAGTTCATCGAGAGGAAAGAACATTAATAATAGCAATAATTATAATTTTGATATCTCTAATAATATTAGTGTAGAATGGAGAAAAATGTTAAGTTTTTGATTAAGATTACGAATCAATGAATTTTCGATCACCATTGAAAACCTGGAAGCATTGGACGTCCGTTTTATCCTAGAATGGGACTCCTCAGCGATGCGCATCTACGATCCCGCACACGGGATTCGAAACCAAGATCGTCGATCATCCAGGACTTCCAGAATTTTCAATTCATCAATTCATGATCTCAATAAAAAGTCTATAGTAATATTTGTTTGGGTTTCACTTAAATTATATTACCCTGATTAGATATAAAACGGGGAATACACTCCTGTTGGCTCACAACCATATATATTTATGAATATATTCATTTAAACTTAACGATTTTCATAATCATTATAAAATAACAGCTAATCAATAAATATAACCATAAATCAATTGAACTTTGAAATGAAGTTCTGTGAAAGAATGGAACAATGATAATCAATAGTGAGGACATTAAAGTTCCAGAGTAAAGAAAATAATAATAATCTATCAATATTAGAAGAAATTCTGAATCGAATTAAAGGTTGGTAAACACATAGAAGGTTTATCTTTAATAGTTAATAATTATAAAAGCCAATATGAAAATATTATTTAATCATTTTTCTTTATAGGAAACATTTACTTTCCATAATTTTATGTTACACTTTACTATTCTATTAAAAGATAATCAAATGAAAATATTTCATTGAATGATCTAATGTAAATAATAATGATAATAATAAAATTGGAAATTGAACAGAATTCATTTTAATGTTTGTATTGAAATTTTAAAGAGATGAAGGTTAAACAGTTTTCTTTTTTAATTACAATTTTCTGTTTGTTTTTTTATATTTAATGTCATCCATATAAATTGAACTTAATTTTTTTTAAACTGTCAGTTTGATCACTGTTCATATGATCCATGGGAACTATTTCCATAAAAGTAAGAATGGAGAAACAATAGAGTTATAGATAATCGCACAACGATATTATTATTGAAATCATAAGTCAGTTGAAGCTAGACCACCATGGAAAACCTGGAAGCATTGGATGGCCGTTTCGCCCTAGTATGGGACTCCTCAGCAGCGCGCACCCACGGTCTCGCCCCCCGTGAGATTCGAACACAGGACCTATCAGTCTTGCGCTCAAGAGCCTAATCACTAGACTACTAAGCCGGTATTCAAAGGTGTTAATTTCTAACTTCAACTAATTCACGAAATTGAGCGACACATCCACCATTGTCTTCAGTGAGCTGATATCTCATGATTTCAACTATTGAGATTACTAAAATCTCCACAAAACCCCTTCTGATATTATTATCATTATTACCTCGCCTAACAAGATTAAATTCTCCTACTATGTATTTTGCCCATACGATTTTTTAAATTTTGTTAGATTACTATTATACTGATTATGTCTTGACAGTACTATAAATCATTCTGGTCTTTATTAAATGATCTTTTTAATTTATAAATAACACAATTTTGTGTCGTAACAGATACAAACGTTTACCATTTTTAACATATAACATTGTCAAATCTATTAATACATGCCTTGTTTTGTAAAATATCACGATAATTAACACTAGAAATAGCTATTTTTGTCTAATGAAATTAGTAATATGTAAAATTGCGTGAAACTGAATATCATTAATGATGAAACACGAATGTTATTCTAATGAATACATTGGAAGAATCTTCAGGATAATAATATTATTACTGAACTATTTAGACAATAATTAATACTGTGATGGCGAGCAGTCTTTTTCATTCTCGTAAATTTCTGTTTCTCTATAAGCACTAAAACATCTCTTACATTGAATGACATACTTCAAAGGTTTCTGCATTCATCAGTCTGATACATTTGTTCTGTAGCATGATAAATGAAATCTTTGTCACCGGACTGATAGAACCTGGGTTCTAATCTCGCAGGAGGGGTTGTGGATGTGCACTGCTGAGGAGTCCCACACTAGGATGAAACAGCCGTCCAGTGCTTCCAGGTTTCCCATGGTGGTCTAGCTATAATTGACTCATGAATTCAACTATTAACTTACTATAATATCCACAAAAACCCTTTTCTGAAATTATTTTATATTTAATTATATAATGAAAAATAAATCCAAATTGCGAAAGTAAACAATGAATACAGAAATAATTTTTTAAATTATGGTTCTTATAGTTTCAACTTGCGTCTAATATTAATTCAAAAGTTTTCTTTTTTTCATTTGACAGAGTTGTGTGCAATTTTAATCTATTTATTTTACTGATGGTCATCTAGATACCTCAACTGATTAATGGATTTTCTAAAAGGAATGAAGTCTTATAATAGTGAGATGTGAATCTTTATTGTATAGCTATCAGAAAACAAAACCATACAATTACTAGTCAAATAGTATCAGACAGTCAGTGTTATTTTTTTACTATACAAAGTATGTGATATTGTTATCGTAGATTACTTATTCGTTAATAAACGTATAATCAACACTGTACATTGAAGTCATTTACCCTAAGACTAAGAATGTGGCCCGAAGTCAAGCATACAAAATTGTACCCTTTTTACGATTGAATGGTAGAAAACTCCATGATACCCGTTGGGATATTCAGAAAAATATCCCAAAAATTATCCTGTTAAGTCTAATGCCATCCTTCGACTTAAAATGGTATCATTTTCCTATAAGTCAATATTTATTTCACGTGTCATTTTTCTGTTGGCCAAATATTGTACAAATGTTATTTTCTTTTTTATGGTACGATGTGGTCTGTTTGATTGGTATATAAATAGAGTATGTTTGAAATATAATGATTCATATCGCAGAGGCTGAGACTTGTGTTCTGGGCTTAACTGGCTGGGCTAGGCGGAAAGCAGGGCCAATCAGTCTCTAGACTGCTGGCACTTGTTTTACGCGTCCTTGGTCCGATCGATAATTCACTGCACATTAATCGGCGGTCACAAGATATAACAATTGGTTACTTTGGGCTATAACAAGACCATAAATTATCATTTTGATCAAAATTATCATAGTCAAAATAACAATTTAAAAGGATGATTAAACTCTCATCGTCACCCCATTCTATTTCAAAGAGCAAAAAAAAACAATCCCATATCAGAAACTATTTTTTGAAGCTTTATATACTGATGTTTCATACTGTGAGTGATATCAATCATCATAATTAATAATAAGATACCTAATTTCTTTTGGAAAGTTAGAAAACATTGAATTTCGCATTACTTTATAAAACTATGAAACTGGATTTCACAACTTCTTTAAATTGCTACCAAAAATTAGAGTCTAATAAATGAAAATAGAGATTCATTGATGCATATAAATCTGTTCTTTTTATCAATGATCATTCTAAGAATATTAATGGCTATATTGGTTATTCTCAATTTTATACTACAACATACTTTGAATAGTATCTATTTCTATAATCTAGGATAGATTTTACCTTCTATTTAAAACATGTTAGCTAAATAGATGTTTATTTTAGTGTTCATTTATACATTCATCAATGAAGATAATGTTCAGACATTCGTTTCACGAGTTATTTTGCCAACATTGTCTATTCAACTAAGGTTTGAATATCAGGAATATGAAAATATTATATTTTTGAAGAATCAATTATTAATTTGTAATTTATTATCATTTCAGTTTTAGTTACCATTGGGATTTACTTATTACACACTATAATACTTCAAAGAAAAGCTCATCGAAATAACAATGATTATTTCCTTTGATTGAGATCATGAATCTATTGATGCTAGATCACCATTGAAAACCTGGAAGCACTGAACGGTCGTTTCGTTCTAGTATGGGACTCTTCAGTAGTGCACATTCACGATCCCTATTGCGGGATTTGAACCCATGACCTCTGATCTCTTAGCCGAGGAATCCAATACTAAGACGAAACGGCCGTCCATTACTTCCACAATTTCAACGATTGTCTAATATCAGTCAATTCATGATCTCAATCGGAAAACTTATCAATCTCCACAACCCCATACTGATAACAATAATTATGTTGAATTTCACACTTTTTTTTAAGTGAGCTTCTTCATAGATATAAGATTGTAAACACTGAAGGAGTGTACACTTTATCATATCCAGTATACTGTTGTAAAATATTTTTTTAAATGGTATTCTTTATGTTTTAAATATTTACGAATAAAAAGAATTTAATTGTTAAATTATCAAATTAATGTAATGTAATAACAAATTAACAATTAAGTAGATAACAATATTCATGATAAACTAACTTACGATTCTTTTTATATAAAGTAATTTCAACTTGATCAAAATAACCTTCATCTAATGCATTTTTCAATCTTTCTATTGAATTAATTGATGTTCTTTTACCATGTAATTGACGACATATAGCATTTTGATGCATCATTTCACGACTTGTATAATTTGTCATTTTAGTAAAACTTTCATTGACATATATTATTGGATGATCAACTATTCTAGCATTGGCAATTAATAATCCAGTTTCTTTTTTACAATTTTGTGTTTTATGAATTATAAATACAAAAATATAAAAAGGAAATTAGTGTCTGTAGTGAGGGATAAACTGATATTTAAAATAATAATATTAATAACTTTATTCATTACTACAAATTTCGGTAATGAGAAGGATTCTCAGCGTCACTTGTTTAGTATTGCAGTAATACTCCCTGTAACAGACTCGATTTCTAATTATTCAGAAATAGATCATGTGAATAATTTTTGCATTATCAGGGTTGGTCACTCATTTCTGATAAGGAAAGTTTACCAATACTTTAAGTGATAATAAATGAATGAACCTTAATATATTCGTGTCTTGTTTTCTCAAAGAGGCTAATATGCCAACAAATAGTGTTTAAGTTTGAGGTTTCAGTATTCGGCAGTTCAATATGTTGGAAACCTTCCATAATTGCTCTTAAGTACGCAAAGTTAAGGATCATAACTACTCAGTTCTATCAAGTCTAAAACACAGAAACCCAAAGATTTGAGCTGATCTATGTTTGTGTTACTTCTGCGTTGATTTCACAATTTGGTAACTTCGAATAAATTTTGAAAACTGAAGATAGTGTATACCTTATAATCAGGTACTTGGGTTTGAGAACCTACTTAACGGTGTTAAATATCAGTTAGTTTAGCATTTGAGATATTACTCTCCGTTTTAATTTCATTTACTTGACATTTAACTTCAAAATGCAATTACCTGATTAGCATGTTACGGTTTAAAGATTACTGATAAAAAATATTATGCAAGGATAGTAAATTTTAAAACGGTGAAAGAAGTCTAAAGCTCCACAAACTGATAAAACGTGAATTAGTGCTTTATTTCTATGATCATTTCCTCTGAGACCGAAATTTATTTCCTGCTAGTGTATCAAGTGACAAAAATTCGACCATCTCAATTTGTAACTTATTAAGTATTTTGAAAATGCAATTTGTAAAAGTGTATGTCAAACCATCATATAATTTGTGCTTAGACGTTGTAATAAAAACAAAGATCATAACTTTACTGTTTAAGTATTATTATCATTATCAATATTGTCTCATGTTGATAGCATAAACTGTGAATAAAAATTGTAGAAATCTATAAGCCAGCTAATTATATGGTCTTAACTTGAACCAAAAATAAAGTAGAATTTCTTTTCAAATTAAAGTAGTCGCCGATTACATTCGTTCACGGATTTTATTTCAGTGTGTGAGTTCAAATATTTGTAGAAACTTTCAGGAGTTCTTGTACGAAGCCGTGGACAGTGAAGCTAAAATGTGTTGGGTATGGGGAGGGTACCCACTGAAGAGAATGATAGATGGTCGAGAAATAAAGCGGGTTGATTGAAGTTAGACTTGTACACATATAGATCCCGGCTCAGTGGTCTAAAGGTTAAGTGTTTGTCCATGGGACTGGATGTCCTGAATTCGATTCCTATGTGCAGAGTTACGGATGTGCACTACTAACGAGTCTTCTACTATTGTAGTGTGCTACTTATATCGACATAAGTAATATATGACGTTAGTCAGAAAAAGAATGTCTAGCAGCAGAGGGACAAGAGGATCGAGCAATAAAGAATGGGAAAAGAATGCAATTTGTATGAAAATGCAAGAACAATGAAGTCTGGGTCAATTTGAGACAACTGATGGTCATTTTGCAAATTGAGCACTTACTATATGGTTTTTAGACTATTAACAAGTTCTGTAATTTCCTGTCAAATACATTCGATTTTCCCCACTGGTGTTCTGTTCACTACATTATGACTAAATGGTTGTTCAGTGCTCCTTTAGTGGTTTCCCAGCTTGGGTCGGTTTTTGGAAAATAGTCGGTCCTGTTTTAACATACGTTTAAAACAAAGATTTCAAACTCCCAATTAGCTTCGATGTTAAATTGTACATCGGATATCAACCTGGTTGGCTTTATATAAAATGTAACTATAGACCAAGTATTCTCCTTGTAATAACTAAGAGATAAAGTGTTCATATAATCAAAAAATAATATTATGTGGTACATAGCTTTACTAAATCACTTATCTGATAATCTATAATATTAGTAACAATTACCAAGAATCCTCTTTCTATAACGTAGGAATTTGTATAATAGATGGAATAAATCGAAGCAATCCAAAAACTATGCAGATATGCTAATATTAATTAAGACTCATTCAAGCATATAAATAACGGGCTAATTCAAACCCTGTAAAATAAAATCATGAGCTCCTGCCCGCTGACTAACTTGTCAGAAAACATTAAAGAGTCTCTGTGAGACGTTATTTGAATTAACCTTCAATTAAGTATAGTTAAGCCAGAAATGCACTCTGTTCAAATGACTTTGACCAAACTCGGTCACCATTTGTAGTGAATGAAGTAATATTGACAAAATAACACATTCAGAACATGTTTTGGTTAAATTCGATTTACTCGTATTGTAAAACAGAATTTGCGACTGAACTTAATCCTGACTTAGAAATATAATTTATATATCTTTTGTGCACTCAAGATTTGTATTGAAGAAATATTTCCAAACAATGTTTCAATAACTCTTAGTTTACGATGAACCAAATAAATAAATTTTGTTTATGCTACTGTGGTATTTTAGGAAAAAATTCGCTGTTTACTTATTCGGTTTTTTCTGTTATTTGTAAATGTAACATCATGCTTAGTTAAATTCATTTGATAATGTTTATTTGAATCTTCCCATTGATGTTTAGGACTGTGAGTGATCAGTCTCTTGTTGGAATATGTGCATCCTGTGCGGATTGCCTTGATATTGCTTTAAGTAGCGAGCATTATAGGCAAAGACGAGTAGTGGCTAGCAGTGAAGTCCAGGACGCGCGTTTCCTCCTATTTAGGACTTGTCAGCCGGATGTGCCTGCATCCCGGAGTTGATGTTCATATAGAACGAACTGCGCATCCTGGATTCCACTGCTAGTCCCCATGCATTTTTTCTTATAATACTCGCGACTTAAGGCAATATCGAGGCAGTCTACAGAGGATACTCATATGGCAAAATGAGACTGATCAATCGCAGTCCTAAATAACAATTGGAAGATACAAGCAAGCAATACCAAGTGTATTAAGCGAATATATATTACAAGTCGTCCGTATAGACAAGAGTGAGTTATTTATGTGTAAAAAACAGACATATATAGCTTAGTTTTTCCCGTGATGAGGATCGTTCTATTTCATTTTCGGTCACTTACGTTATATATATATATATATATATATATATATATATATATATATATATATATATATATTTCGAACCTTAACTCGGACTCTGTTTTATGTTTACATAATTCTCTTCCCTTTTTCTCTAAAAAGGTTATTAATTCTCTTATTTTTAAAATTCACCTAACTTCCGATTTCATGGATTGATCGTCATCACCCTTAATTAGATATTAGATATTATTGTCATTTATGATTTATTTAAATGATCAAGAAATTGAATTTGTTTCAATATGTCTATTTATTACTCAGAGAACTAAAAGATAAGCTATTTAAAATCCTTTAGACTTTTCTACATTTCGATAGTTCAAGATTACGATATTTTATTAGTTCAGTTACTATTGATTATTGCTGTCTACATGAATATCAATGATGTATCTTCTTTTAACTAACCCCCATGTAGATATAAACAAGTTTTTTTTTAAAAATTATCCCATTAAACAGATTGAAACCAAATAGTTTTATAATCAAAATATATCATAACTGAATTGTAGATACTTCATGAAACACATAAGTTTAAGGCATCATGCATCGAATGGTTGTTAGAAAAAAATCATTTAATCAAATAATTTTAAGTGTGATCTTTGTGGGAGTTCTTAATAATACTGTGGTATGTGCTACTGATGTCGACAGACATAAGTAGTATGTATAATCAATCAAAAATGAAAGGTCTGGCGTCAGAAGATCAAAGAAAAGAGAACGAGAACATAAAATGATTGGTGTAGAAACGAAAGAACAATGAAGTCTGAAGCGATTGATTAACATATTGCAAATAAAGTATTTACTGTATGTTTCTCAGATTTTACTTAGAGATTTTGTAATTTTGTATTGAAATACATTCGGTTGTTCCAACTCGTATTCTCGTTCACTACTATACTAACAGATGGAATTCATTTCAGTCAACAGACGCTTAAGACATAAGCATAAAATAAACGTTTTAGATTCTTTTTTTATTTAATACAAGCATAGGAACCTGAAAACATTTACGATGCTTAAATATCTTAGTAGTACTAAGCATGAGGGATATCCTTCTCAATAACTTCACTTCAGGTTTTCTAGTTGTACATTCAATTTAATCATTCAAAATGATAATTATGTACAGAAAGTCTCCTTTGTGATGAACTCATTAACTAAAGCTGAATATTATCAGGCGTTTTGTGGAGATTTTAGAAATTTCACTGGTTGAGATTATTCAGCTTTACAGATTGAAATCATGAGTCAATTGAAGCGAGATCACCATGGAAAACCTGGAAGCATTGGACGACTATTTCGTTCTAGTATGAGACTCCTCAGCAATGCGCACCCACGATCCCGCACCCCAAGAGATTCGAACACAGGACTTATCGGTATCACGCGCGAGCGCTTAACCATTAGACCACTGAACTGGCCGGCATCCAACGGTATTAATGTCTAACTTCAACCAATCCACGAAGTTGCGTCACCGTACACCATTGTCTTCAGTGAGTTACTATCTCACAACAGACGTGGTTGAACTCCACTGGTGACGGCTTCTCACTAGAACTCCAGGAGTATCTCTTGAAGTCAGTCACTAGTGAGTAGATGGTTGAGCGCGAGACTGATAGGTCCTGTGTTCGAATCTCTTGGGGTGCGGGATCGTGGATTCGCACTGCTGAGGAGTCCTATACTAGGACGAAACGGTCATCCAATGCTTCCAAGTTTTCCATGGTGATCTAGCTTCGATTGACTCATGATTTCAATCAGTAAAGCTGAATAATTTTAATTATAATAAGTTCATAAATAATTGGATGATAATTAAT